ACATATTAATGTAAAAGCTGTGTGCCATCCGATGGTCTCTCTCTCTCTCATCTTTTTCCGTGATTGATGATCATGGCGTGTTGTATGTTGACTAAATAATTCCAGTAGATCCAAGGCAGGATGTGCAACGGCTGGAAGCTGAAATGAGCTGCTTGGTCTGCCTTAGACGGCATGGCCTGGATTTTTTCATGTCTTCATTCCTGATCATGTGTGAGTACAGATACCAAGGCAACCTGAACGCCCTCTACTTGAAACTCTGTGATGCTGAGCTGTCACGCAAGAATGCGCGAATTGGCAATAAATGGCTGGTTTATGTCCTGCCTGAAGCCGATTTTGATTTGCATGTTTATGCATGTTGCCTAAGGTCCAAGACGGATTTCAATGATGTCACGGAGAAGATCAAGGATGCACTGCTTCGTTTCACGAACAGTGCGAATGCCTGCAAGCCTGAAGCTTAGCATCCTCAGATTCTACTGAAGCATTCGTACTCGTGTCAAGCCTGTTGCCTGTTGCCAATGCTGTCTCCATGTGGGTCGTTAGAGGTGTTCGTGTGCTGCTTCTGACTTTCTGCCCACAATGGAATGTGTTATTAATATATATATATATATATGTATATTCATATATGTATATGTATATATATATATGTGTGTGTGAGCATGTACATACAATTATATGTATATATATATATATATATATATCTACACAGCAGTTCTTCTATTTTGCATTTTGATGTACGGACATGATTGATCACATGAGGGCATGGGTTACAGAAACATAAATGCTGGGGGCATGTGTGCATGATGTCATGGCAGCTCTATCATACTCATCTGGATGTAAACAGCTATCGTTTGCTTAGCAATATTGTTGTGTCGGGTATTCTTGGCTATGGGCAGTAAATGTCACTGTGCTTCTTGTCCTGCTTGTATACCAAGAGTATTCTCCTCGCACCCCGCATCCAATCCACAAGGCCCCAATGTGTATATGCCAATCTCTAGAAATATGCAACCAATGTGAGTGAGCCGCAACGTTTCGGGATGCATATAACAATGTAGCTGCTTTCGAATCAATGTTTGTTGAGGTCTTACATGCGCAAGGTGTCGCAGCCGAAGGCAAAGGCCAAGGGAAAAGCAAAGGGGAAGCCTGCAGCAGCCAAAGAGGAGGAGGAGGATGTCGATGGTCAGCAAATGTGACTGCTTGGGCTCCAGCTGTTGAAGTGTTCTGTGCATGAAGTTGCCAGAGCCGGCTTATTTTGATTTGGCAGGTCCCACGCTTGTGTGAGCATTGAGATTGCTAGAGGTGTTTGCAGTATACAGCATCAGCATAGATGGTGTTGCATTCGTGGGCATGCGCTTCTCCAGACTATCTGTTCCTGTCAGCAGTGTTGCACGTCGCCGCAGCTGAAGCACGCAAAAACAGTGCTGCCAGAGCTGATGATTTTACAGGAAGATAGACCTGCAAGGGAAACAGCATGTCGATATAGGGATATGAACACAGATTCAAACAAATCTAGATACCTTTGACAAACATGTGTATAAACACCTGTATATTGTAAATGTATCTATAAAATATGTGTATATATACATATATATATATATATATATGTACACTTGCTTATTTCCCAGACTCATGCATGTTGCCACAGTACATGCATGTATCATTGTGCATGTGCTCGTGTCTATGTCCATGTCCATGTCTGTTTATGTGCATGTGCATACAGACATATATAAATATATACATATATATATATATATAAATATATATATATATATATATATGTATATACATATATTATTCGGTGTGCTTATGTGACTGCATGACAAGTCTGTTCATGCATCTGGATGTATGTATCATCTATGTATATGTGTATTACATGTTAAGTGAGTGTGTATACATATATATATATATAGATGTGCATATGTATGTGCCTGCTTGCATGTATGTAAACGTGTCTGTATATGTATAGATATCAGTTGAAGTATGCTGCTTTATCTATATATGTCTGCAACAAGACATGAAACTTCAAACTCGAACATAAAGGAATAACTTGCATGAAGGAATGTATGCATACACAGACAGTTCCCTTGCGCAGGTGCCCGGGTCGTTGAAAATGTCCTCAAGACCTACATTGCCCCTTGGCATTAGATGCTGAAGCACGCTGTTTCTGTGAGTGTGTGTGCTGTAGCCTTACTGTGTTCAGTGCAGATATTTAAGGACCATAATGCTGCTGAAGCCTCCCGAGTTGCATACGACAATGGACAGACAGCAGCAGATGGGGATGCCTGGAAGAACACATACATCCAGCTGGGATTGGCACACAACTCCACGAGTGACAAGGAGACAGTGTTTCTGGGAAACGTGCAGGCTCTGGGCTTCATGCTAGGGACACAGGTGCAAATGAGGACTGTGGAGTTTACAAATGGCCCAAAGGCTCACCCTGTTCTGCCGATGAAGCAGCTGGCGACAGAGATTCTCCGAGATTATCCGAAATTGCTGTTGTTTGGGCATGAGTATACGGATTTGGTGAAAGTGGAGACGGAATTGGCGCAATTCTGGGCCCGGTTCCGCACCACCTGGCATGACCATGATGTTTTTACAACTCACGGAGACCATTTGCAAAGATGCATACCAATCAGAATGCATGCTGATGAAGGCACCAGTTTCCGGCGAGCTGGAATTTATCAACATAGTTGGGGCCCTGTTCTGAAAGCAGGGCTGAGGAGTTCACTGCATTGCTTCTTTTATGCTGCAATGCTGGCTGATGACTACAAGGATGCAACCAGGGTCAGTTGACAGGTCCATGTTGGCACCAGAGGTTATTTGCCATGTAGTCATGTGCTGTAAGTGTAGACAGTATAGATAATCCTACATATATATGTATACATATATGGTTCAAATATTTTCCCCTATATGTTTGTTTAAAGCATGATATGGCTTGTCATTTGTATGTATTGCTTCCCTGGTTTCGTGAGGATGAGCACGCTGGGTTTGGCCAAGGCAACAAAACCCTGGACAGCCTTCTCAGGCACTTCGTGCAGGATGCAAGAGACTGCTACTATGATGGTCTTGATTCGAGAAACGGGAAATTTTACCTTGTGCTAATCCGTCTTGAAGGAGATTTGCCAGCCCAGGCAAAGCTATCACATTCAGGCCGCAACTTTACGAATGACCCGAACCCGATGTGCCCGTGGTGCTTAGCGGATGGAAGGGAACTCCCATTCGGAGACTTCCGCCGGAATGCCCTGTGGCGAACGACGATTGCAACCCAACCTCCTTGGAATACATCGAGTCCTTTGCATGATCTGCCGGGAGGTGAAGATGACAGATTCCTGGCCAAGGATTTGTTCCACATATCCCACCTTGGCATAGCGAGGACCTGTGTTGCATCTGTGATATGCTTCTTGGTTGCGGTTGGTGGGCACTTCCACCCCACTGAAGGTGGTGTGTCGGTGCCGGCATGTTTGAAAGAGGCCTACAAAGCCTTCGCTTTCTTTTGCAAGAACATCCTACATGAGACACCGGATGTCAAGACCTTCTCACGAGAGAATCTGGGCTGGAAGTCTCTAGCGAAGATGCCGGAGACTTCCTGGATTCTTGGAAGTGATAAAGCACTGTTACTATCTAGCATGGTGTTCAGCATGAAGTGGAAACGGGTTCTGTATGAAGTCTTTTTTTGTGCAATATGGTAAACTGTATATGAAGCATGTGCAATCATGTGCATAAATCGATTCCTTGTAAACCCTGAGTGGTTAAACAAATAAACAAATAAACAGATAGTATATGTACATAAAAATATACACATATATATATACACACACCCTATATAAAGCATGAGTGTCGAAATGCTTTTCTTCTACTGAGGAAGGGCTCTGATATCCGCTTGCTCACGAAATGGCTGGTGGACTATCTGTCGAGGCCCTGGCTATTCGATGATGTCACTGGGCATGTGTATGATTTTCTTACAGCGCTCGACGACTTTCATCGCCTGTGTTATGTGGATTCGAATCGGGTGTGGATGAACAATGCACAGATGCGGACTGGACGATCGCTCCTCGCCCGTTTTTTCGCAGGCTACTCGAATGCTGCTCAGTTGTGCCATGCTCAAGGGTGGTTGTTCTTTAACATCACCCCGAAATTTCACTATCTGCTGCACATCGAGCATGACATGTCACAGTCGAAGGGCCACAGCTGGGGCTTTAATCCAGCATGCTTTACGACACAGATGGACGAAGATTATATGGGTGTCTCTTCTCGAATGAGTCGTTGTGCTCACCCTTTGGGAGCTGCAAAGCGCACGGCTCAGAGATGGCTCATATATTCTTGGCTCCAATGGAAACCCTGGAGGTTTCAGTGCTGATCAGCAGCTCTAGTGCTGGCAGAAAAAACACAAGGGGGCCGAGTGCTTGCTATGCAGTCTCTGTCTGCACAGTGTCCGTCTTTGCAGTCTCGGTCTGTGCAATGTCTGTCTTTGAAGCTATTCGCTTTGTATGGTGTGCAGTCCCCAACCCCACGGGTTTCCCTGTGCCAGGGCAGCAGTGGTGAGCTCTATATACATATATATATATATGGGTATACAGATAAATGCATTCATATATATATATATATATATATGTATATGTATATGTATATGTGCATGTTTACATGCATGCAACACACACTCATGTTGACATATCCGTACAGGTGCTTAAAGAATCGTGCTGTTTCGATATGACAAGACCATTTCACTAATGTTTTTGTTTGCACACATGTTCATTTTCGACGCAGCACACTGTATAAGTTGTGTTTGTGTTAATGTGCACGGTATAAAGACCGGTTCGTGCAATTTTTCAGTTTTGAACCGAAGAAGCAAGAAAACAAAAAAACCAAGAAAATAAAGAAACCAAAACATTTTGGTTTCTACAAATAAACCAAAATAAACCCCTACAAACCAATGTCCAGGTATATATATACAGATAGTTATGTATAGATACGCATACCTATAGCTGTGCTGCTTGTGTCTCCGCCTAGACTTCTTGATGTACACACGGGCAATGGAGCATGCCTTCTTCAGGGATCGGATGTTTCTTTACGAAACTCTTTGCGGACTCTTGGATGTCAAAATTCTCAAGCCGAGAGTCCTAGGCGAGGTCAAAAAAGGCAACCGTAAGCCGAAAAGCCAAAACCATCGAGCCCTGAACCCAGGTTGAAAATAGTGGGTAAACTTGCCCTAAGAGACCGCAACCTGCAAAGCCCTAAAGCGGAATAGGCAACCAACAGAACAGACCCACCCTACGGCTCAATAGTAGTTCCTTTTTGCGGCTCATATTTAGAATCCTATATATCCTATAGGGTAATCCCAAAACGGAACTACCATGGAGCCTTAGGGTATACACCAACCACCCTAAAGCCTACCTTAAGCCGGAATAACCTACTTTTTTAAGAGTTTATATAAGGAAATCATAATAAGGGACCCTAAAAAGGTAGGTTATTCCGGCTTAAGGTACCCCCCAAACCCACCCCCCAAACCCTGTAGAAGCGCCCTGGAAAAACACGCTCACTCTGTTGCGCCGTAGGAGCACCCCAGGAACAAACCGTGCTACCTTCAAATCGCAGCATAAAAAAGCAAGCAGACGGGTCATAGCACTTGTGATAGTACTTGTTAGACCGCAACCTGACACACAAAGTTCTAAACCCCTAAGCCCAAAAACCCCAAAACCTTTAGCCCTCAGCTCTAAACGAAGCCTTACGAAACCTTTGAAGCGCCCCTCATCGCCACCAGTGTAAAGGACACCTACCTATAGTCTCCATTGTAGTTCCTTTCTAGGTGGGGCTTTTAAAGCGTTTGAAAAATATTAGTAAATAAGATCCTCTTAAGCCCAATAGGGGAAAATATAAAATGTCCCAAAGCCCTACCTAGCTTTTTTTGGTTAAACAAAATCTCTCTTATAGGGCCCTAACCATAAAACTAGTTAACCAAAAAAAGGAACTCTAGCTAGACTCTAGACCCGAAAAGGGAACCGGCCCGTAAATCCTATACCCCAAACGCTTGAACCCGAAACCTTCCACCCTAAACCCCCGAACTTGAACTCTGAACCCTAAATCCTCATGCGCAGCCCTAAACCCTGAACCTCAAACCTTAAGCCCTATAAGCCCTACACCCTGTAAGCCCCACGTGAACCTCCATGACCTACGTTTTTGTAGATTCTTATTATGAGCTCTGATAACAGAAATTAAAGGGACACCCCCTCAAAAAAACGTAGGTTTGTATAAGTTAAAGCAATTGTGGCTGGAAACCCTGCATCCCCGAGGTTTGTGTTTAGGGTTCGCCTTAAGCCCCCCGCCCTCAATATCAAACCTAACCGTTTCAGGAAAAGTATAGGGAAATTGAAATTAGGAACCCCCGACAAGGTTGTAGGCTTTTTCTGGTGTAACCAAAAAGGGAACTACACTGGAGACGACAGGTAGCGTCCACGTTGGGCTTACAAGGGCTCTCCTAAACCCTAAACCCGAAGTCCCTGCATCAAAGTCGCGCTACCGACATGGACAGCGATAACCAGGCCAGAACCAAACCCTAAACTCCTAAACCCTAGACCGCACAGAGAGTTGGTGTTGGTAGTTCAAGGTTAGCACCCAAAGCGTCCAATCCAAAGTACCTATGTGGCAGAGTGTAGCGTTGTAGCGTTTCTTTGCTAGGAATTACTTGTATGGTTGAAGAGGTATCCCCCCATAACGGTACCTCTTTGGATCCCTTAAAGGAATCCTTAAAGGAACCCATGTATAGATCCCTTGAAGGAACCCACTACGGTAAACCCTAAACCCTTATAAACCCTAAACCCTGAACCCTAAACCCTAGACCCTGAACCCTAAACCCTGAACCCTAAACCCTGAACCCTGGAACCCTAAACCCTAAACCCTAAACCCTAAGCCCTAAGCCCTAAGCCCTAAACCCTGAACCCTAAACCCTAAACCCTAAACCGTCCTACTGCTGATGGACAAAATCCTGCATGACCCATTATAAGGGATATACCATAGTTCCCATAGTTTAGAGTCCTTAAAGTCATGCAGGATTTTGTCCATCAGCCCTAAACCCTAAGCCCTATAGATCCCTTAAAGGAACCCCTATAAAGGTACCCCTATAGATCCCTTTAAAGGAACCCTAGGAACCCTAAACCGTCCTAGGAGTCCTAAGACCCTTAAAGGAACCCGGAGCTCCTCGGGTTGCTCGGCCATCCCCGTCGGAGTCCAAGGCGGAAAATGCACGGTTCGAGAGCGCCTTCGAATGCTTTTTCTGGAGGCTAGAAAATCTTTTATAAGGCTTGAAGGTTTAAAGTTCTTTAAAGGTTTAGGTGCTTTTTCTGGAGGTTTAAGTTCTTTAAGGGTTTAGATGCTTTTTCTGGAGGTTTAAAGTTCTTTAAGGGTTTAGGTGCTGTTTCTGGAGGAATCAAGATCTTCAGTGCGTGCGGGCTCAGTGGCCGCAGATGGCCATGCGCTGGATTGCGCCGATTGCGCTGGAATGCGCCGATTGCGCTGGAATGCGCCGAATGCGTTGGAATGCGCTGGAAAGCACCGATTGCGCCGAAGTGCGCCAATTGCGCCGTTTGCGCCGAATTGCGCCAATTGTGCCGTTTGCGCCGAATTGCGCCGAATTGTGCCGATTGCGCCGAATTGCGCCGTTTGCGCCGAATTGCGCCGAATTGCGCCGATTGCGCCGAATTGCGCCGAATTGCGCCGAATTGCGCTGGAATTGCGCTGGAATTCTGCCTACAGCCTGGCACACAGGCAATACTACCCTGTGGCTGTTGCAGCCTGGTTGCTACCTTGGTTTTGCAGCCTGCGATTTCCGGGCAGTGCCTGTCGTACCAGGTTTTTGTGGCTCATTGCTGGCAGCAGTTCCCGCAGTCCTGCGAATTCTCTTCCACTGTCAGTCAGAGAGAGTTTTTACATTTCACGTGGGGTTATATTGCATCCTATTCAGCGGATTTTTTGGCGAACGACCACGAATCTCGACTCAATTGACGTGCTCTTGTGCGTGCACCCGGAATTTGACGGGCACTTCGGAACTGTTTTGGGTTTGTTGTTGTGTCTTTGTTCTTCTGAAAGCCTTCTGAAATCTATGACTACCGACCGATTCTTGAGTCTGAACCCTGACAGGTCTTGAACTCCGAGGGTGGGGCCTTGGACTCTGATGGGGCGGGGCGCCCCTGATTTTAAAATCAGAACCCTTACGGATCCTTGAACTCCGAGGGTGGGGCTTTGGACTGATGGGGCACCCCTGATTCTTAAATCAAAGCTTTGACAGATGTTGAAGAGGAGGAGGCCCTGGACTGATGGAGCGCCCATGAATTTTCGATCTCCGCCTCTTAGTGAGCTTGAACTCCGGGGGTGGGGCCTCGGACGCCCCTGGTTGTTTTAATCAGAACTCTTTCAAATCTTGAACTCCGAGGGTGGGGCCTTGGACTCTGATGGAGCGGGGCGCTCCTGATTTTTAAATCAGAACCCTTACAGATCCTTGAACTCCGAGGGTGGAGCTTTGGACTGATGGGGCACCCCTGATTCTGAAATCAAAGCTTTGACAGATGTTGAACTCCAAGGATGAGGACTTGGACTGATGGAGCGCCCATGATTTTCAGGTCACCGCCTCTTAGTGAGCTTGTCCTCCGGGGGTGAGGCCTTGGACGCCACTGGTTTTTCTTCAGAACTCTTACAAATCTTGAACTCCGAGGGTCAGGCCTTGGGTTGATGGGGCACCCCTGATTTCTAAATCACAACCCTTACAGATCTTGAACTCCGAGGGTGAGGCCTCGGACTCTGATGGAGCGGGGCGCCCCTGATTTTTAAATCAGAACCCTTACAGCCTTACAGATCCTTGAACTCCGAGGGCGGGGCCTTGGACTCTGATGGAGCGGGGCGCCCCTGATTTCTAAATCACAACCCTTACAGATCTTGAACTCCGAGGGTGGGGCCTTGGACTCTGATGGAGCGGGGCGCCCCTGATTTTTAAATCAGAACCCTTACAGATCCTTGAACTCCGAGGGTGGAGCTTTGGACTGATGGGGCACCCCTGATTCTTAAATCAAAGCTTTGACAGATGTTGAACTCCGAGGATGAGGACTTGGACTGATGGAGCGCCCATGATTTTCAGATTACCGCCTCTTAGTGAGCTTGAACTCCGGGGGTGGGGCTTTGGACGCACCTGGTTTTTTTAATCAGAACTCTTACAAATCTTGAGGGTCGGGCCTTGGGTTGATGGGGCACCCCTGATTTCTAAATCACAACCCTTACAGATCTTGAACTCCGAGGGTGGGGCCTTGGACTCTGATGGAGCGGGGCGCCCCTGATTTTTAAATCAGAACCCTTACAGATCCTTGAACTCCGAGGGTGGGGCTTTGGACTGATGGGGCACCCCTGATTCTTAAATCAAAGCTTTGACAGATGTTGAACTCCGAGGAGGAGGCCCTGGACTGATGGAGCGCCCATGATTTTCAGATCACCGCCTCTTAGTGAGCTTGAACTCCGGGGGTGGGGCCTCGGACGCCCCTGGTTGTTTTAATCAGAACTCTTTCAAATCTTGAACTCCGAGGGTGGGGCCTTGGACTCTGATGGAGCGGGGCGCCCCTGATTTCTAAATCACAACCCTTACAGATCTTGAACTCCGAGGGTGGGGCCTTGGACTCTGATGGAGCGGGGCGCCCCTGATTTTTAAATCAGAACCCTTACAGATCCTTGAACTCCGAGGGTGGGCTTTGGACTGATGGGGCACCCCTGATTCTTAAATCAAAGCTTTGACAGATGTTGAACTCCGAGGATGAGGACTTGGACTGATGGAGCGCCCATGATTTTCAGATCACCGCCTCTTAGTGAGCTTGAACTCCGGGGGTGGGGCCTCGGACGCCCCTGGTTGTTTTAATCAGAACTTTTTCAAATCTTGAACTCCGAGGGTCGGGCCTTGGGTTGATGGGGCACCCCTGATTTCTAAATCACAACCCTTACAGATCTTGAACTCCGAGGGTGGGGCCTTGGACTCTGATGGGGCGGGGCGCCCCTGATTTCTAAATCCCAACCCTTACAGATCTTGAACTCCGAGGGTGGGGCCTTGGACTCTGATGGAGCGGGGCGCCCCTGATTTTTAAATCAGAACCCTTACAGATCCTTGAACTCCGAGGGTGGGGCTTTGGACTGATGGGGCACCCCTGATTCTGAAATCAAAGCTTTGACAGATGTTGAACTCCGAGGAGGAGGCCCTGGACTGATGGAGCGCCCATGATTTTCAGATCACCGCCTCTTAGTGAGCTTGAACTCCGGGGGTGGGGCCTCGGACGCCCCTGGTTGTTTTAATCAGAACTCTTTCAAATCTTGAACTCCGAGGGTGGGGCCTTGGACTCTGATGGAGCGGGGCGCCCCTGATTTCTAAATCACAACCCTTACAGATCTTGAACTCCGAGGGTGGGGCCTTGGACTCTGATGGAGCGGGGCGCCCCTGATTTTTAAATCAGAACCCTTACAGATCCTTGAACTCCGAGGGTGGGGATTTGAACTGATGGGGCACCCCTGATTCTTAAATCAAAGCTTTGACAGATGTTGAACTCCGAGGAGGAGGCCCTGGACTGATGGAGCGCCCATGATTTTCAGATCACCCAGATCACCGCCTCTTAGTGAGCTTGTCCTCCGGGGTTGGGGCCTTGGACGCCACTGGTTTTTCTTCAGAACTCTTACAAATCTTGAACTCCGAGGGTCGGGCCTTGGGTTGATGGGGCACCCCTGATTTCTAAATCACAACCCTTACAGATCTTGAACTCCGAGGGTGGGGCCTTGGACTCTGATGGGGCGGGGCGCCCCTGATTTCTAAATCCCAACCCTTACAGATCTTGAACTCGGAGGGTGGGGCCTTGGACTCTGATGGAGCGGGGCGCCCCTGATTTTTAAATCAGAACCCTTACAGATCCTTGAACTCCGAGGGTGGGGCTTTGGACTGATGGGGCACCCCTGATTCTTAAATCAAAGCTTTGACAGATGTTGATGAGGAGGAGGAGGCCCTGGACTGATGGAGCGCCCATGATTTTCAGATCACCGCCTCTTAGTGAGCTTGAACTCCGGGGGTGGGGCCTCGGACGCCCCTGGTTGTTTTAATCAGAACTCTTTCAAATCTTGAACTCCGAGGGTGGGGCCTTGGACTCTGATGGAGCGGGGCGCCCCTGATTTCTAAATCACAACCCTTACAGATCTTGAACTCCGAGGGTGGGGCCTTGGACTCTGATGGAGCGGGGCGCCCCTGATTTTTAAGTCAGAACCCTTACAGATCCTTGAACTCCGAGGGTGGAGCTTTGGACTGATGGAGCACCCCTGATTCTTAAATCAAAGCTTTGACAGATGTTGAACTCCGAGGATGAGGACTTGGACTGATGGGAGCGCCCATCTTAGTGAGCTTGAACTCCGGGGGTGGGGCCTTGGACGCCCCTGGTTGCTAAATCACAACCCTTACAGATCTTGAACTCCGAGGGTCGGGCCTTGGGTTGCGGTTTAGAAGGCAGGGGTGTCCCAGCAAACCCTTACAGATCTTGAACTCCGAGGGTGGGGCCTTGGGTTGAGGGGGCGCCCCTGATATCAGGTTGACCGGGCTTACCGGGTTTATCGGGTTTATCGGGTTTACCGGGTTTAGCGGGTTTATCGGGTTTATCGGGTTTATCGGGTTTATCGGGTTTATCGGGTTTATCGGGTTTATCGGGTTTACCGGGTTTACCGGGTTTATCGGGTTTATCGGGTTTATCGGGTTTATCGGGTTTATCGGGCTTATCGGGTTTATCGGGTTTATCGGGTTTATCGGGTTTAACGGGTTTATCGGGTTTAGCGGTGCGCGTCCGCTGTTTGCGCGCGCAATGAAGATCTTCAAGGGTTTATGTGCTTTGTCTGGAGGTTTAAAGTTCTTGAAGGATCTGCGGGTTTAGGGCCTGGGGTCCTGGCTGTAGCGCCTTTCAGGTCCCAGTTCACAGTCTGTGGGCCCAAAGCGCCCGAAGCTCTAAAGCACCCTTGATGGGAGGCCAAAAAGGGCGGGTTTAAGATTCTTGTGGTAGGGATTCCTTAATATGAACCCTATTATGGGAACCAAAACCCCCATAGGCTAAAACCCCTTTTGGCTTCCTATGAACCTGAATCTGGTGCAATACCGGTTCTCCCGGTCTTGCGGCAGGTTCCTTGCAGCTTCTGGGAAGGTTGGAGCAAGGCCCCTAGAGCAAGGTCATGACAAGCTCTGGTGTTTGGGGTCTTCGGCATGAGTACCTTGTATATAAGTTGGCGCTATATCTCTGCATCATTCAACATCCGTTCCATCTTCTGATCTGGGGGAAGCCACCGCGACCCTTCTCACGCGCTCTTTTCCTGGAGTACAGGATGCTGAAAGAGGTCAACGTCAGCAATTCTTCCTCTACACCATTTCCAAGAGAAAGGAAGGCAATGAAATCCTCACGGCCCAACAAATTTGAGTTGATGCCGGTAGGACGTTCAAGCATGCAAAGAGAGCAGTGGCTCACGGAGAGAAAAGACATTTACGGCGTCCCTCCAAGCCGTGCGGACTTGCATTTGGGCCTTCAGTCACGCTTCTACTTCTGCGTCAGGAACTGTGGAGAGATCTGGCTCTTCTGTTTCATCCCGACTCTTGAGAGGAACGCGATGACTCTCGGCAAAAATAATATCGTCAATCTTGGCGATGAACAACACAGATGTCGCATCCTTCACAAACTCGCTGCAATCCCTTGATTCCATCAAGAACAGAGGCAGTACCAAAACCGTGGTTTTCTGAAAGTAATAGTTGACCACGAAGGACATACCCACACGACTCCACGCCCAGCACTGGGCTCTCACGCCTGGCTTTCCGAAGTACACACTCCAAAAGCTTGCCCATTCCCACTCCCAGCTGTTCTCAACAATGCACACGATTTCCTGCATAAAAGCAACCACGGTGCCGGCGAGAAAGAATGATGTTGCCTTTGTTGGGATGACCCGTTCCGCATGTGTTCGCGCTCCCATACTCCCTGCAGCACGAGGCAACAAAGCATAATCTGGCCAGCAAAGATCGCGACACACTGAAGGAGATTCCCGATTTGAATGTCTGTGTACACGCTGGTCGGCATCAAGGAGTCCGCAACGACTACAGACTGGCGACTCCCCTTCCTGGCCGCTCGAAGTTGAATGTTGTCATAGTAACAAACAAAAAAACCAAGAATGACCGGATGCACCATGCACACTACCAAGGCAGCGGCTGGCGAAGACTTTAAGCTGCCGAAGGACAACATCTGCACCCCAAATAAATCGAACAGCCGGAAACGGCCCAATATCTTCACCTCTGCTCGCTGTTCCTCCGGTGTCCTGGATGCTCTACCCGAAAAAGGAAAGTACCGAACGGTGATGATGCCCATGATCAGATCTATGGTGATCGCCGTAAGCCCCACAATGACCTGCCAGTCGGAGATCCAGAGAGCGAGGGCCTCCATAACATGCTCCATCTATGAACACGTGGCCCGGTTGAGCCTCTGGTGCCTGCAGCAACAGCAACTCCACGAGCAGGTGATCCCTGTGCCATCTGGCAGCCACAGACTTAAGGCAAGCTGTGGTTAGCACCATATGTGTCTGAACCCTACAATCCGGCCTCACCGTGAAGATCGTCAGGACTCTCCAAAGCGTGCAGTTGTGCGTGGAGGCAGGCGGCCAGGAACTCACCTCAGTCCCTTTGTCTCCCTACGGGTCAGATAAGCATCACCAGCCCCAATGTAAACATAAACTCAGCTAAGAGTTGTGACGTACGAAAGCCCTAAGTCCAACACGCTGGAGCGGAATGGCCAAATACTGAATACTCAGAGGCTCGAATATCCGTCAGCAGTATTGGCTCAGACACCTTAGACTTTACGGGAACGCCTTAACCCCACTAAACTCTAAACCCCAAACCCCCAAACCCTCTGAACCCTGAACCCTAAACATTGTCTCTGCTTGAGAATGTGTAGGCGCCTGGGCGTGAGCACTACAGAAATGTAGGGGCCTTATTAATTAGAATAAGTTCGAGGAAGACTGTTACTAACCACCAGTGCCCAATATGTCACCCAAGCTCTCCCATGACACACAGGTCATCCTGACCTGCTGGTCTCCACGTCCAGAAAGCTTTAACAGCTTACCTATTGTCTCCATTGTAGTTCCAAATTTGGGGTTGCCTTTTAGGATTCTTAATATAAAAATGGTTAAACCAAAAAAAAGGAACTACAATGGAGACTATAGGTAACAACCGGACAACCCGGCTGCCAAGACTCTGTACTCCAGGCGGCCGTTCTTGTTCAGATCGCACTGCCTGCCAGAAGAGTCTACCTAGCTGGTGAGTTCATAGCCCTAACAAGTGCACACTTCCAGTTCTATAGTAGGTAATCTTATCCCAAAAATTGTAAAGTGTATCCACTCAGCTACTGAGTCTAGGACCGGGATTTAGACTTTGAGGGATTCAAGGCTGGGGGTTTGGGGTAGACCTGAAGCGCTAGACCCATTGAAAGTTCGCTGATGCAGAAACCCTTATCCTAAACCCCAAATCCGAAAACCGTAGGCTTCAGGGAAGTTTATGGTTTACCTTAACCTCAAATAACATACCTTGTTTAAGGACTTATATAAAGAAATCATTTCAGGAAACTTTAAAGGGTAGGTTGTATCAGGTCCAGGTAGGGCCTAAACACATGCACCGGGCCCCGGAGCCCTTGTACTAAGAAGTATATGGGGGTTTCCGAAAATAGGGGACCCTAATATAGTAGCCCAAATACTAGGGTCCTTATTATAAGGCGCCCAAAATAAGGTAGCCCGGTAGCCCTAATTTTCGGAAACTCCCATTTCGCCATAGACAAGCCCCTTGAATCCCGAGCTGGGATGCCCAGTAATCTAGGAATAAGAAGGGCTCCCTTCTCGGTATTGGGTAACTTTATAAGGAACCTGGGACTACAAAACTGGAATATGGGCTACTACTGGGCATCCTAGCGATAGATTCTCTACTCGGCTTTCCACCATCTTCCGAGCCTCTCCTCAAAACCCTAAACCCTAATTCCTAAACCCTAAACCCTTGAAGCCCCTGGAGTGCCAGAAGCTGACATCTCACATGCGAAACTACTAGGAAACGCCTCTGAACAAGATTCCCCAAGGGTCCAAGTACCTAGAGAGCCCAATACCCCTAAATTAAGGAATATAGCTTAAATCATAATATGAATAACTATATAGTTTAAGCTATATTTCTTAATTAAGGGGTGTTGTGCTCTTTGGGTACCTTATAACCATATACTCTCCCACATACCAACCTACAGAACTCCAAACCCAAGTATCCTATTATTGGGCCCTTTGGACCCGTAGGGGTTAGTCAATCAATGCATACAAAATCTTAGGAGGGGATATATATATATATATATATAGAATGTCTCAAAGGCCTACCTAGACTACATCTCCATTACTTCCCTGCAAACCATCTAATCGCCCTAAGGGGTCCTCGCTGTTGTAGTGCTGGGGGCATAGCCGACCGAGCTGAACCCTAAACCCTAATATAGGGGCCTTAATAATTTGAAAAGGGTTTGGGGCTCCATCAAACTGTAACTATAATAAGGAATCCAACCAAAATAGTTCTGGAAAAAATGAAGGCCCCAATTCAATCCTTATAGTAGCCCTTACCGTAGCCTTCATAGACCCCTTTAATTTAAGGGAACCCTAGTCTAATAGCATAGGTAATTGTTTAGGCCCCTATAGTACACGACCTGAACCCTTCTCTCCGAGTTGCTCGAACCACTTGGACACCTTCCGACGGCTCAAAGGGCAACAGGAGTCGCAGTCCTTCCAGGTGGATTTTGGGGTTTAGGGTTTCCCAGGACCCCCCCCCCCCCAAGTGGCGTTTAATCAAGCCCTTGTGGTCCTTAATAGTGGGTATTTAGGGTATAGTATAGAGGGTAGTTGGGGGGTGCTGGTCGGATATAAGGTTTAGGATCTAACCCTAAACCCTATAAACCCTAGGGTTTGGGGCTTATGGTTTAGGTAGGGTTTTGGGTGTGCAAGAAACTAATTAGGAGTCACAGTCCTTTCAGACCCGCTTTAGGGTTAAGGGTTTCGGGATTAACGCTTATGGTTTAGGGTTTCGGGTTTAAGGTTTATTGCTTATACCTACCTGGAGGGTCATACCCTATCCCTGTTTGTAGGGTACCTCGTTTTATGGTCAGGACCTGTTATATAAAGAAGTAGGTACCCCAAAAAGAAGGGTAGGGTATGACTCTGCGGGTTGGGGTTGAGGGTGTGAAAGAAGCTAAATGGTGGGGGCTTTCGAAAATAGGGGACCCTAATATAGTACCCTAAATAGTAGGATCATTATTATACGGATCCCAACCTAGGGTATCCCCTATTTTCGCAAACTCTGAACCCTAAACCCTTTATAGAACCCTTATAGATCCCTTTAAGGAACGCTTAAAGGATCCCAAAGTAAGGTACTCCCAACTAGGAGACGCAGGTCCCTCGGACTGAGAGAAGGTTTCCTTAATCAATGGGCTCCTTCAAGGGTCCGATAAGGTGTCCTAGAGGGTCAAAGGGGAAAAGGAGGGACCCTTAAGGGGGACCCCTGCCCTATAATGGGCTATAAAATAGATATATAATGGCTGTAATAAATGTGGGTATATACCTAGGGGTCCATGTTAGGGGTCCCTCCCTTTACCCTTTGAGAGGGGTTCTAAAAGAGACCTTTGAGGATACGGGGTTTCGGGTTGCTTTACAAATACCAGGAAGCTCCATGTATACTACCATTATGGAATTAGGTCCTAAAAGAGCAGTCTTATTATGGTTTTGGGGACCTGATTCCAACATGGTAGTATATGTTATATGTGGAGCCTCTGGGTTACAATAAAGTTTAAGGTGTTTACGGTTTCGGGCTTGCAGTTTAGCGTTTAGTATGCCCGGTCAAGCTTTTAAGCTTCCTGACTGATGTCAACAGAAGCTCGTTTGCCGCTGCGCGGAGCGAACTTCCGTAGATTTATCGACAGATTCCGAAATCATTACTGCGCTTCGTCGTACCCCTACCCTAACCCTTAATTAAACCCTAAACCTGCAAACCCGAAACGCTGAACGCAAAAACCCTAACCCCTAAAGCCCTAAACCCCTAAACCCCTAAAGCCCTAAACCCCTAAAGCCCTAAACCCCTAAAGCCCTAAAGCCCTAAACCCCTAAACCCGATGAGGCATCGTGAAGCCTCCTGGCTCGTGCATTAACAGCATGGGGCTTCGTGCTTGAGGCTTGGAGCTCCGGCTCCCTACATAGTAAGCCATGAGCCACATGTATATGTGCGTAATGCATGCGTATGCATCTTCATCTACATCTCCATACACACATTATCGATCTGGGAGACTGACTGATATGAACGAACGAAAGAACGAAGGAAGCAACAACGCGCAGGAACAACTGACTGACTGACTTACTGACTGAATGAACGAACGAATAAGTTAACGAATTAATGACAACACAGTTAATAAACCCTAAACCCTAAACCCTAAACCACACAAGGAAGGAAGGAAGGAAGGAAGGAAGGAAGTAATGAACGAAGTACCTATGAAGCCTGGAAACCCAGCAGTCCACGCGGGCAACTCGCTATGAAGCGAGTAGAATGCTGCGTCGGTATATGGGAGTTTCCGAAAATTGGGGGGGTACCTTCTATAAAGGGTACTATGGGGGTTTTGTTATAAGGGCCTTAGTAATTTGAATAGGGCTTTTGGGGCCCATACTACCATAATTTTAATAAGAAGCCGCCAAATGATATGGGTAATTTATTTAGTTCCCGATATTACAACCAGCCCTCGAATCTCAGTTACCCTTATAGTCGGCTACTGGGTTGTGGGTGCTGCAAGATTTTTAGCTGGGGTTTAGGGAACTGTACCCCGCTACATAGGTCACTGGGCTTCTAGGGGCATGCTGATATCCTGACTTGGACCCATACTATGAAACTTACAGCTAGTTGTCAGGAGGCAGAACTCGGGCACTGTCCTGGAGGTTCTGCACAGCCTCGAAGAACCTTTCAGCGCTTGGCCCGAAGAAGAGGCATGCGTGTTAGGGTGTAAGGGTTTAACGTTTCGGGATTTAGGGTTACCCATAGCTACAATCCAAATCTAACGTAGGGTTGAGGGTTTTCATGCAGGGCGTAAAACCTCACCCAGACCCCTGAACCAGCAATCCCAATTAGGGAACTCTTTGAGTTTAGGGTTTAGGGTCGACTAAAGCTCCATGGTAGTTCCTTTTTGGGATCACCTAATAGGATTCTATAGGATTCTAAATATGGACCCCCAAAAGGAACTATGGAGCCTTAGGGTAGGGAACTTTTGAGGAAGAATCCCTAAACACTAAAGCCTACATCAACTCACCGCTGCACCCAATATGAATCACGAGTAGATGTGCAATCAAAGGGGAAAAGGAGGGACCCTTAATGGGGATCCCTACCCTATAATGGGCTATATAATGGGTATATAATAGCTATATGAGGGGTCTATACCTAGGGGTCCTTATTAAGGGTCCCTCCTTTTACCCTCGGATGCAAGTAACCCGATTGAAGAATCACAACAACCGGAGGACTCGGTGCAAGAGGAGCCCATGACCCCTCATTTAAGGCATACCTTATCATGGAAAAAACCGAGAACAACTCTAGTTGAGCTATATGCCTTGATGAAGTGGCTTCGAAGTCTCTCGGTACGTAGCAGATAGGTTACAGGAGTGTCGATGTTTCCGTTCTGGCTCTGTAAACCTGCTGATTTTCCCTGGTGCCAGCGGGGAGCTACTGACATAATACCCAACAACTACATGGGTTCTAGTAGGATAGAGTATTGCATCAGAAGTCTAATCCGCAGCAAAACCCCAGACCCTAAACCCTGAGCCAAATGCCACCAAAAAGCTCGGCGCGCGAGAGACTGCCGTTTCCCTCCTGGAACATAGTCAAGCCCAGCCGAACCACTTTGATCTACCAAGCGCGGGTTCGTGATTTGTTCGTTCTACTTACCTGATTAATTATGTCAGCTTTTTATAGAGCTACTTCGGACTTGGAAGAAAACGGATCGATAAGTAGGTCACACGGTAGATGTGAGCCGGATAGCTCCAGGGGGCCCAGCAGCATGCTCCGCAATGTACTCGCCGATAAGTTCATGTAACGATTACTATCCTACACCACCAAACCTCCTATGGGTACTCTGGACCTCCAAGCGTAATCAGTTGTTAAGTCACTCCCTAGCTCTTCAAATCCCCTAACCCTTAAGCCCAAACCCTAACTTTGGGTTTAAGGTTGGGGTTTGGGGTTTAGTGCTTGGGACCCAAATTCGCCCAACCCTTAGCCCACGCCCCAACTTTGGGTTTAGGGTTTGGGGTTTAGGGCCCAGGGTTTACCCTAAACCCTAAACTCTAACCCATGTCTGTACCCCAGCCATACAAGCAAAAGAAAGGCTGGCTTCTCCTTTCGTGGAACCCCACACCCTCAAACCCGCAAAGCTGTAAAGCCCTGATACCTTCAAGCCGTAAGCCATGAACTAAACCCTAAACCCTAAACCCTAAAAGCCGTAAGCCATGAACGTCTGCAGCCCTGAAACCTTGAAGCGCTTTGAAAAGTCTTTTAAACCCTGGCCCTGACGATTATAGCTCGGGCCTCCAAGAAGGGTTGGGATTCGTAGCCTTCAGTCAAAGTACTATTTGCCTAAGAACACCCAAAAAAATTAAAAAAATATTCCTTATGGGGGTAATATAGGGATTGTTATTTTCATTTTTTGGGGGGGGTTCTTAAGCAAATAGTAGTCAAAGTACCACAAAACTTAAGAATTGGAGGTCCCGGAGCCCTCGAACCTCAACCAGAAGCCCTTAAACCCATAAGCCCCGAACCCCTCAACCCACACGGTTTAGGGTTTAGGGTCTAAGCCTAGCCTTAAGGGTTTTAGGGTTTAGGGGGTCTGCCATAGAAACCCGTACTTCCTGCTATGTTGGTGCCCGAAACCGCTTAGCTTCTCTGAGATTTTTCTCCCGCAAAACCGGAATCTTCTGTAGAACTCTCAACGGATATACTTCAAGTTCAATTTAGGAACCCTATAATCAGAGGCACCATAGTAGTTCCTTTTTGAGGGCCTTCATATTTAGAACCCTATCTGGGTGGTTGTCAAAAGTATAGTCCCTTTTTGGGTACCCTAAATAATCGGTGCCGTACCATAATAGGGACCCAGAAAGGGACCCTAATTTGACAACCACCCATATAAGGTAATTTCCAAAACGGACCTACTATGGGGCAAACGGGTTCTCACAAGGTCTGTGCACCAAGAAGGTCCATATATACTGCTATCATGGCAATAAAACTAGGTCCCCAAAGGTATAATACTGATGATGGACAAATTCCTGCACCATAGTTTCCGTAGCTTAGAGTCCTTAGGGTCATGCAGGATTTTGTCCATCAGCAGTAGTAGATGGTCTTTTGGGACCCAATTCCATGACAGTAGTACATATGGACCCTCTGGGTCATTAATTTAAGGGGTTTTTGGAGCCTCTGGGAACTACACCCACAAGCCCATGCCGAACAGAAACCGAAACCGGTCCGTGTCGATGCCCAGGAATGCAGCGCGATACGGTTCTAGGCTTTCCTGACCAAGGGGTTTTTCCGGGAGCATCAGTACGGGGGCCTCAAGAGGGAGAAAAAGGGTTGTGGGATATAATGTGGTATAATTGCAACTGGACATAGTTGAGAACTTAGGGGAACAATTTTGGTAATTGCCCAGGCTTCTACATCAAATTATCAGGGTGTTGTTGCGGTTTCTTTCGGGTATACGTGCAAAGTCGTTGCAGAGTTCGGAGCTAAGGATTCAGGATTTGAGGTTTGAAGCTTTAGAACTCAAGGTCCACATGCAGCACCGTTGTGTAACTAGGTTTTGAACTCTTGAGGCTCATGGGGTGAACTGAAGCCTATATAGCCTAGTCCGTAGGGCTCCATACCATGATGATCTTATAGGGTTTAGGGTTCAGGGTTTCGGGATCTTATATATAGATAGTTGTCAAAATTATTGTCCCTTTCGGGGTACCCTAAATATTAGGTGCCGGAGTATAGTAAGGACCTTAGAAGGGACCATAATTTCCCCCAGCCACCCATATGTCACTATGTCATCAAATACGTGCTTTGTGAGATGCAGGTACTCAAAGGATCATGGGACTTAGTAACTAGGGTTATAATTAGGGTAACTATACTCGTAACTACCTATAACCCCAATTAAGGTACTTATAACCTTACTTACTAAGTCTCATGATCCTCCACGTAGGGTTTAGGGCTATCATCTTGTTGCCAACATCAAAGGCATAGATCCCGGAAGCCATGGCCGGCGGTGCTGTTTGGTGTGGGGATATCTACAATACGGTTGACGATATAAATCCTGCATTACCTTAAGGACCCTAAACTATGGGAACAATGGTATATTCTCATAACTATGGGAAATGTAGGATTTATTTCATCAACAGTAGTAGCGGCTTCCAAAATTGGCCAAACGTCTTGTATCCCTGAGGGTCCAAAGGACCCAATACTGAGGTACTCGGGTTTAGGATAGTAGTTATGTAGGTTACTGATACAAAGGACCCAATCATGAGGTACTCGGGTTTAGGATAGTAGTTATGTAGGTTACTGATACAAAGGACCCAATCATGAGGTACTCAGGTTTAGGATAGTAGTTATGTACATTACTGATACAAAGGACCCAATCATGAGGTACTCGGGTTTAGGATAGTAGTTATGTAGGTTACTGATACAAAGGACCCAATCATGAGGTACTCGGGTTTAGGATAGTAGTTATGTAGGTTACTGTTATGGAGAGTATCTGATAATTAGGTACTTGGACCCTTAAGGTATGGTCTTTTCGGCCCCAAGGACCTCAAAGGACGAGCCCTTCGTCCTGACAGCCTCAGGGTTCGGGTTCAGGTAGCCCTAAACCTGAAACTCTAAGCTTGAAGCCTTGAGATAAGCCCTAAAGTCAAAACCCTGAAGGTTTCGCGCTTCCGGTTTGGAGCTGCAAAATTGCAAGGGATCTGCTCAGATCCTGGACCTCTAGGGGTGAGACTGTGGGGCACCTTAGGGTTGAAGGATGTTTCAGGGCTTAAGACTGCTTAAAGGGTTGGAAAGTTTAGACTTCAGGGTGTAGGGTGTTGGCTCACGGGTTTAGGGATGTTCAGGAGTCTAGGATGATGTAGCCTGGGCCGGGAAGTGCTCCCTAAACCCCATATAGATCATTTCCAGCCCATAGCCAGCCAAATCTACTACTTAGAGGCCCAGGGGACTTAGTAAGTCGGTTATAAGTAGGGTTATAATTGGGGTAACTCCATTTTGGGGACTTATAACTCTACTTATAACCTACTTACTAAGTCCCCTGGGCCTCTAAGTTATATGGACAGATGGGCTGGAACTTGAGACTCCAAATCCTGAGCTATGAACCCCGAACCCACGACCATAGACCTACCCTTTGTTTTATGGGTTCCTTACTATGATTAGGAATAACAAGGGCTCCCTTGTGGGTATTGTATAGGAACCTAAGACTCAAAAAAATAAAAAGGGCCCACTGGGGGGAGGTTCGAGCTTAGGGTTTGCCTTAACGCCCTTCTCAAAACCCTATTCCTTGTAAGGAGCTGTACCGAAAAATTAGATTTCGTGTCCATGCAAGGTTTAGGGCTACCCTCAGGCTCCATAGTCATTAGATCCTTTTGGGGGTTAATGTTTAGAATCCTATAGGGTCATCCCAAAAAGGAACTACTATTGAGCCTTAGGGTACCCCAAACCTTAACCCGAAAATCCCTGCAGCAAAGTCGCACTACCCAAACGGGCAGCGATGAGCAGCAAGCAAACCTGCTCTCAGCAGGAGGACACAGGCTTTAGGCCCCCGGAGTTCAGGGTTTAAGGGTTTAGGGTTTAGGGTTTAGGGCTTAGGGTTTATGGTTCAGGGTCTCAGGTCCAGGGTTCATAGGAGCTTGGGGTTCACAGACTTCAGCGTTTCGGGATTTAGGTTTTGGGGGGGGGGCGAAATGTAGGGTTTACTTGGACCACAAAGAACCTGCCTTCGAATTTTTGGGGCTTCAACAAAAGACAGAACCCTAGAAAGGAAGGCTTTTATTCGGGCTGTAAGACTTTCGGACGTGCGATGTTCGGGCTTGTGAGCAGTTACTCCCTAAACCCCAAGTCCAGAAAAGGGCATTCTTGGAGCCCCTTGCCTCTACCTTAAGCCGGAATAACCTACCTTTTTAGGGTCCCTTATTATGATTTCCTTAAAAAAATCCTTAAAAAGGTAGGCTATTCCGGCTTAAGGTAATCGTACTGCTTTAAGGATTCAGGGTTTCTTGTCCACAGTGGTGGATGAGCTGAAGGTTGGCTGCTTGGGATTGCAGCTTAGGGTTTAGGGTTTAGGGTTCGGGCAGGCTTGTGGACAAGTTGTACAACAACAGTAGCTCGGTTCATCAGAAGTGCGGCAGTGGAATAATACATACGGAGTATACTGACTTAGCTACACGAGAATTCCTGGGTTCAGGAACAGTATTTCAACCCCAAATGAACCCTAACACCCTGATTAAACCCTAAACCCCTAAACCCTGAACCAACCAACCAACCAACCAACCAACCAAAGCGCGAGATCCTACCCTGCAACGCCACAGCAAAACCCCAAGCTCAATACGCAACAGCCGAACTTAAACGAAAAGGCAAGCCTAAGGGTCCAAAGGACCCAATACATTTCTGGGTTCTATAAGGTTCCAACAAAGGATCTGGGATTTGTCGGTTGTACCAGTATACCAGGATTCTAAAGGTCCAAAGGACCCAATGCTTTTTAGTACTTGGGTTTGGGATAGTAGGTCTGCAGGTTAGTGTTTTGGAGAATATTGGATGATGAAATACTTCGACCCTTTGTAAGGTAAACCTAACCACTTTAAAGCTGCGCCCAAAGAAAGCCATGGACCCTAACATGTGAGACCCCAGGCTTATGACCCCAAAGAGGACCCCAACAAACTATGGAATTAACTTGGGTACGGCCCCCACTCAGTACTAGTTGAGTAATATTCATAATATAGATATATTAGGACCTTAATAGTATAGCCCTATTATAGACTCTTACTGTACGGGGGCAGTACCTAAGAATTAACCCCAAGCCCTGAAATCTGAAAGAACGGTCGTCGAAAATTGAAACCTTCGACCCCCAGCCCGAAGTCCTTCGCGACAAACCCCGAACCCAAGAAACCCAAAGCCCAACCCTAACCCCAAGGGTCCAAAGGACCCAATACTTGGGTACTCGGTTTTAGGATAGTAGTTAAGTAGGTTAGGCTTTTGGAGAGTATATGATTATCAGGTACTTGGACCCTTGGGGTAAACCCTCTCCATAGCTTGTAACGGAACGTGGGCCTTCACGAAATGCGTCTCCTGACGCGGCAGTTGTATTGTCAGGTGTGGGGATTAGGCTGGGTTGTGGGAACATTGAATGCTTTTGGTTCAGGGTTCAGGGTTCAGTGGCTTGGGCTCTGAAACCCTAGACCCTAAACCCCTAAAGCGTAAACCCCTAATAAGGCACACTAAGTTTTGAGTCCAAGAGCCTTACGACCCAAATACCGTGAGAGAACCCTGGTAACCAGGAGCCGACGATACCCTAACGGTTAAGGGTTTACAGGGTTTAGGGTTTAGGGTTCAGGGTTTAGGGTTTAGGGGTTTAGGGTTTAGGGGTTTTTGGTTTAGGGGGTACATGTCCAAGGTCCCCAAAAGTATGCTGTGCATCTTCATGCGACGATGTACCTTGTGTCTTCGCCTCTCCACATACGTGCAAGCCTCCACCTAGTGGGTCTTTCTGCCTAAATAGCCTGCGAAGTCAGCATTACAGCCACTTGCTTACTATGCCCTAAGACTCCATGTGCCCATCTAGTAGGTACTTAGGCCCTCAAGTACCTATATAGGGACTCCTTTACGGCCTAAGTACCTACTAGATGGGTACATGGAGCCTTTGGGATGGATTGTATTTTCCCAATATATGGAGAGCAAAGGTCTTTCATTTAACGACCCCTAGCCCGCAAGAAGGAGGCGTGATGTTGAGAAACCCCCCAAGTGTGGCCACGCCCATTCGGTCCTAACTTCCGAAAAATCGTGGTGCTCCAAGTAAAACGTGCAAGTTTATGAAGCAAATGATTCCGTGATGCCTTTGTCATGTCAAAGTCTTGCGCCTCAAACGCTGTTCGGGGCTAAGGGTTCGGAATTCACTGTTCAGGCTTCCGGGTTAGTCTTAAGGTATAATTGGAGATCTCAAAACCCAAATTAATCTTGACTTCTAAGCTCGAGGCTTAATGACGTGTTCGCTCTCTGGTTGATGGAATAGAATCCAGAGAGTGAAAAGAACCGGAGCTTAGCATTGCTGCCTACAACCTAAGCCCTAAAGCCCCCACACCCTATACTATAGCCCTAAACCCTGAGCCTTAAAGCCCCAAAACCCTAAACCCTATAATCCTAAACTCAAAACCCTAAGGCCCCCAAACCCTAAACCCTATAACCCTAAACCCACGCCGCCTCTGCGTAGTCGAGAAGAGACTGAAACAACTCCGGCGTGAGCCCGTCGCGGGCAGGTCTGTACCTTGGCAGGGTTTACGGAGTTTAGAGTTTAGCCGAATCAACCCAGATAAGCCCACCTTTCATTATCCTGAGCCTTGTAGACCTAACACCCGGAACCCCAAACTCCCCTTGTCCAGATCCCCGGGAGGATCGAGAAAGTAGATCCCGTAATTAATTATTCTGTGAGTCTGCACAACCAGGAGTATCCTATCGGAAACCCCTTTAAGAATCTCCTTCTTGCATCCTCTCGGGGGTGCGTTCACCAAATCCTAAAACCCTCAACCCTACTGAGGACCCCGCAGTCCCCGACAACAAAAACCCTAAACCGCATAGGCCGTAAACCCTAAACTCCAAAGCCACCAAACCACCAAGACAATCAACAACTAAAAACACACAAACCCTCAAACCCCCTTAACCCTCAGCTTTAGACCCTACACCCCTTAAGCCCCCACATAGAACCTCGAAAGCCCAAAAAATCCCTAAACTAACCCTGATCATAATCCCTAACCTCTCAACCCTGATCATAGCCTTGTCCCCAACCCTGGATAATCTACCTTTTTAGGGCCTTAAAGCGGCAGGTTATTCCGGCTTAAGGTTGTCCCTAAACCCTAACCCCAAGGGTCCAAGTACCCAATAATCATAACATATACTCTCCAAAATCCTAACCTTATAGCTACTATCCTAAAACCGAGTACCTAATTATTGGGTCCTTTGGACCCTTGGGGTAAGACCCGAAGTCCGCAAATTCACTTATGTAAACCCTAATCCCCTAGCCCCGAACACCCAAACCCTAAGCCCCTACACCCAAAACCCATAAACCAATAAACCCTAAACCCCATAAACCCTAAACCCCCAAACCCCTAAGCCCCTAAGCCCCTAAACCCTACGTAGGACCCTAAGCCCCTAAGACCCTAAGCCCGTAAATTCCTGCAGCCAGACGACAACTCGAACCAAGGGCTTCTCAAAGCCTCAACCGCCGAGGGCCTCCCCAGGGGCTCCTCTAAGGGTTCGCCTAGGGTTTGAAGCTTACCCAAAGGCTCCATGTACCATTATAGCAGATACTTAAGCCTTAAAGGGGTCCCTATATAGGTACTTTAAGGCCTAAGTATATACTATAAGGGTACATGGAGCCTTAGGGTTAGGGTGTAGGGCTCATAAGGCTTGTGGGATAGGGTGTGGGCTTTCGGGATCTGAACTACGGTTGATGATATAAATCCTGCATGACCTTGAGGTCTATTCCCTATTATGGGTAATGCAGGACTTATGTCATCAACCGTAGGGTCTAAGAATGAGGGTTCGGGGCTTAGGGCTTATGTGTTAGAGTTTGAGAAGGAGGTTTTACTTAGAGGCCCAGGGGACTTAGTAAGTAGGCTATACGTAGAGTTATAAGTCCCCTAACTGGAGTTATCACAATTATAACCCTACTTATAACCGACTTACTAAGTCCCCTGGGCCTCTAAGTAAACATTCCAACCCTGAACTTCATAGATCCCTCTTAGGAACCCTATAGATCCCTTTAAAGGAGCCCTTAAAGAACCCTTACTAAGTCCCCTGGGCCTCCAAGTAGGGCCCAGGATTGGAGTTTTAGGTCTAAGTAGGGTTTAAGCCCTCCAGAAGACTTGAAGTTTCCAAATCAAAGTTCTCTTTCAGTTTAGGGTTTAGGGTTTAGGGTTTAGGGTTTAGGGTTTAGGGTTTAGGGTTTAGGGTTTAGGGTTTAGGGTTTAGGTTATCTTTCAGTTTTGGGCTTTTCAAACTTAGATATTGTTTAGAAGGGCCCCCCCCACCCTGTAATAGTGGTATAACTGGAATATAACAGGGCCCTAATATAATCCTTATAATCACTATTACAGGGTGGGGGCCCCTTCTAAAGCTTCTGAATATATTGTTCTTTCTTGTTGCGTCGTGAGGCTGAGGGTCCGATCCGAACTTCGGAATTCTACAGTATAACCCTCAAAGGAATCCTTTTAAAGGAACCCCCAAAAAGGAAGCCTCCTCAAAGGAGCCCTTAACATACAACCCTTCCAAAATCCCAAAACTCCGTCGGTCTTGACTTTGGGTCAGTTTCTGGCGTCAAAAAGACATAAGGGAGTTTCCCAAAATTAGGGGGTACCTTATTTTAGGATCCTTATAATAAGGATCCTACTATTTAGGGTACCATAGTAGGGTCCCTATATCGGAAACTCCCATACAATGAGGACCCTTAAGGGACTTCAAGTGATGCGTATACACGAGGGAGGCGATAGAATCAGCCTGGATTTGTACGGTGTGATTCTACACCCTAAACCCTTGAACCCCTAGCGAACTCTACACATCCAATAATCCGGCACCATCCCTCACCTCCGTGTGCATGAGGAGGGTTCAGATTTTAGACTTTGGGGCTATGACCCTAAGGGTCCAAAGGACCCAATAATTTCTGTACTTAGGTTTTGGACAGTAGTTATATAGGCTACTATTTTGGAGAGTACATGATAATTAGGTGCGTCGGTTGATGATATAAATCTGCACTACTCATAATAGGAATATACCATAACTCCCATAGTTTCGGGTCCTGAAGGTAATGCAGGATTTATATCATCAACCGTTGGACCCGTAGGGTGACATAGGAGCCTACGAGAACAGTCGTAGGCTTGCAGCTGCCAGCCGGGACCCTAAACCCTAAACCCTAAACCCTAAACCCTAAACCCTAAACCCTAAACCCTAAACCCTAAACCCTAAACTCAGGGTGCAGAGGCTCGGAGATTAAGGGGTTTGAAGGCTCTTGGGCTCCTTCGGTTGGGGTTCCTTTGACGGGATCTATAAGGGTGCCTTTAAGGGGTTCCTTTAAGGGATCTATAGGCTATAGGGTGTCTAGGGTTTAGGGCTGATGATAAAAATCCTGCATTACACATAATAAGGAATATACCATAATTCCCGTAGTTTAGGGTCCTCAAGGTCATGCAGGATTTATCTCATCAACCGTTTATCATCTAGTTGAGATGAGGAACCCTGGAGAACACTATTGGTAATTCTTTCGGCTTCTGTAGTAGGGCTCTTACAGCAGTGTGTTTAGGATTTGGAGGCTCGGGCCTGAGGATCAACGGAGCTCTTGGTTCCAATCCTCAAGGGCTCCATGTATCGTTATAGTAGATACTTAAGCCTTAAAGGGGTCCCTATATAGGTACTTTAAGGCCGAAGTATATACTATAAGGGCACATGGAGCCTTAGGGCCTTTCTTGTGACTTTGGGCACGCGTGCAGAAGCTGACATGCCCAAGGCCCTCACTACCCTGAGCATGCAAGAACTCGCAAGCTTATACAAGAAACCCTGAACCCATCCACACCGCAGAAAGCACACCTTCTGGAACGCATCCTCAACGATAAAACTTAAAAACCCGATCGAGTTTCAGACCTGAAGCACACCCTCTAGTCTAAGCCCCAATTTCTCGAGCCCCTTCCAGCATTGACAAGGTTTCGGGCACAGTTTAGGGTTTCAAGCCTATAGACCCAAAACCCGAAACTGAGCCCTAAAAGCCAAAAGACCACAAAGCTCAACTCCCGGAAAGCCTTGTAGACACCTTTAACCCAAACCCGCAAACGAAAAAAAAATATAAAAGGAGGCCAACAGCAACCCAGACAGGATCCGTCGAAGGAGCCCTAAATGAGAACATTGACATAAAGGTCCGCCCCAAAAGAACGCCTACCCCAATTTCTTACAACTCTATCAGAGCCCAAAATACTGCGAACCCTCAAAGGAATCCTGCAGAAAAATCCTCAACCACCCTAACATACCCTGACCCCAAGGGTCCAAGTACCCAATAATCATATACTCGCCAAAATCCTAACCCATACCTACTTTCCGAAAACCGAGTACCTAAATATTGGGTCCCTTGGACCCTTGGGGTAAGACCCGAAGTCCGCAAATTCCCTTATGTAAACCCTATTCCCCAATATACACCCTAATCCCTACAACTTAACCCCCAGCCCTAAACCCTAAACCCATAAACCCCAAAACCCCCAAACCCTAAACCCTAACATACCCTAAACCCCTAAACCCCTGAACCCTAAGCCCTAAACCCTAACATACCCTAAACCCTAAACCTTAAACCCCTAAACCCTAAGCCCTAAACCCCAAACCCCTAAATCCCTAAACCCTCCCTTCTACTATAACTAGTAACCCTATCAGAGCCCAGGCCAGAGAGCCCAAAATCCCGCGATCTGCCGGGGCCTGTGCTCGGGGTCACAGCAAAGGAGCGTCGAGACGAACTTTCGCACCCCGAGGCTGCGAGAAAGCCTGGGCTTCGGGTTTAGGGATTTAGGGCTTTAGGGTTTAGGGTTTAGGGGTTTAGGGTTTAGGGGTTTAGGGGTTTAGGGGTTTAGGGTTTAGGGCTTTAGGGTTCAGGGCTCAGGGTTTAGTAGGTTTAGGGTTTAGGGCACCCCGAGGCTGCGAGAAAGCCTGGCGCTTCCAAGAGTACCCTTATAGATCCGTTGTAGTCCCTCAAGGAACCCTTGTAATAAGAATCCTAAACCCTAAGAGGCTGCGAGAAAGCCTGGGATTCTACAGAAAACTGTGGAAGGGGTTCCTTTGATTAAGAATTCTTTTCAGGCTTGCTTCAAAAATTCTTCTAGGGTTCCTTTGAGGGGTCCTTTAAGAGGATCCTTTGAGGGTTCCTTTCATCAAGCTTAGGGTTTATTTCAGGTTTAGGGTGTGTTCAAAGTTCCATCAAGGGTTCCGTTAAGGGTTCCTTTACGAGGATCCTTTGGGGGTTTCTTTAAGGATCCTTTCTATAACGATTTCCTGTCAGCATTCCGCCGAGGGTTCCTTTTGAAGTTCCGTTCAGGATTCCTCTAAGGATCCCCTTAAGGGTTTAGGGTTCCGGGGTTTAGGGCTTCTGCTGTCTACTGTATCAGCTCGAAGTCAGCAAAGGGACCCCCCAGAGACTCCAACATCCCTTAATTAAGAAATATTCCTCAAATGGTAGAAGGATCCCTCATAGGATTTAAGGAATACCTGGACCCCAAATAACCTTCCTTTTTAAGGAGTTCTATAAGGAAATCATACTAGGGAACCCTGAAGAGGGAGGTTTTAAAGGGTCCAGGTATCCCTTACTCAAGGGATATTGGAGTCTCTGGGTCTGGCCCCTTAGGGCATCGTAGGCTGTCGATTCAAAGACCGGTCGGAAAGCCTTGCGAGTGTTCATTTCCTCGTGCTTGTCCCGAAAAGTAGTGAAACCCCAAAGCTCGGGCATGAACCTTTCCCTAAGGGTTCAAAGGGCCCAAGAATTGGGCACTTAGGTTTCGGATAATAGTTATGTCGCTTACTATTTTGGAGAGTATATGATAATTAGATACTGGACCCTTAGGGTTTGATTAAGGTTTAGTTTTAGCAAGTGCGACTGCAGCGTCGCATTTAAGTTCAAAAAACTGGCTCCGGACTTCCGGAGGAAAGACCTTGACGGCTGAAGCATGTCCCGGCTGCAGGGTCTTTTGGCTGCAAGGTAAACCTTAACCCTGAATAGCCTACCTTTTTAGGGTTCCTTATTATGACTTCTTTATATGAGTCCTTAAAAATGTAGGTCCTTCGGGGTTAAGGAAGGGCTTATGGTATGCTGCACCTCGGCAAAAACACATTAGTGTCGACATCGTTCCAACATGGCCGGTACAATCCTCCAACCAATAACCCCCCCCCTCTAAACCGTAAACCCCAAGACCCTAAACCCTCCACAAATCCTCAAAAAGACCTGGGGGCATTCTTGGCTTAGCTGCAACCGTGAGAGAACCATCGAGTGCAGCCGACCATGTATACTAGGGTTCAAGGATTAGGTTTAGGGTTCAAGGATTTGGGTTTAGGGATCCGGGTATCGCACCCGAAATGCAATGCCTACCCAGCTATTCAGCCCCAATATAGACGCCAGAACATCTAAAACAACATCGTCAACAACATTCTCTGGAACTCAACCTGATCATATTGGAATTGCAAATTTGCTACTGGACTAGCATCAGAATATCCAGGCTCCAAATGCGACAAAATTATTCTGTGCCGCTTTATCGTAGGAGGCCAGTTGTTCACCAAATAATATACTAGGTAAGCGGGGTATGGGTACTATAAGATTCATATGTGGTTCAAGGGACAGTCCTGCCACATAGGCAACTTGGGCTTCCAAGACTACCCAGTGGAACTCCCGCACAACCCTTTCAACCCGTCTGGGAAGCAAGCCCTAACCCTTTGAACCTAAACTTGTCAACATAAACCCTAAAAGCTTTAAAGAACGCCAACCTGCCTGATCACCAAACCCCAAACCCTAAACCCCCTAGACCCTAAACCCCCAAACGTTAAACCCTGAACCCCGAAACCCTAAACTCCTAAAGCCTAAAAAACTCCACCCGAAACCACTGGCAAGTAGCCATTTGGCCTTGGCCTCGTGCCAGTGGTCCTTTGGCTTGGGCCCTAAGCCACATAGACCCATAACTCGGAACCTAAACTCCAGACATATAGTCTATTTTAGGTTATGTAAATATCCTATAATAGACTAAATCATTCTATGTCTTGAAATGCCATCCCTGAATCCCTAAACCCTGAACCCTGAGCCTGACTGCATTTGGTATAGCAGCACAGACTACTCTGGGGTCTACCGTGGCCGACACCTAGGATTCGGAGGCTTTATAAGGTACTTTAAGCGACCATCACCTAAATTCTGTGGGCATTTATTATAATAAACCCGCATTTGGCATTGATAGGGACCCTACAGAACAAGTGGGTTTTGGTAGGTTCAGGTAGGCTGAGGGTGGGGGCTCCAGCCCTCTATGACTAATTCAGGATCGTGATATCGATACTCATCCTCATGGTCCAAAGGCTCAGGATAGAAGTTATGAGGTCGATATCTGGGAGAGTATATGGTTTTAGGCTTTAGCCTCATCAGCCATGCGTCTACGGACTCTTGTAAGCCGACAGGCCGCAATCCTAAACCCCTAACCCCTCCTTGAGGTACCATGGCAATATGCAGCGACTTTTCATGCCTTCTGGGCTACATTCCTTCAATAAGGGTCCGCGAACCCTAAACCCTGGCAGAATCCTCAAAAAGCCCCTGTGAAAACCCTTAGGCTTACGGGAACTCCACAAAAACTAACTTTGCCTTTAAACCCTAAACCCCTAAACCCTAAATCAAACTTTGAGGTACCTAGCATAAAACCCTGAACATAGAAACCATAAACCCTGACCGAGTCTCCTCCGGCATCAATGCCCAAAAGGACTCCAAGTTTTCGTACTGCTTGGTGATCCTGGGCATGGGTTTAGGGCTTAAAGTTTCATCTTTAGGATTTAGAGTTCAGCGGAGGCGCATATCATCAGGTTTAAATTTGGAAAGGAGGTGCCGAGGTCGCAAAATAACAAGAACTCTTAACCTCCTTTGAACCCTCAACCCCACAAAACATGAGCCGTGAACCACACACCCGAACCCTAAACCCTACCTGGGCCCCAAGAAACCTACCCTTTTAAGGGTTCCTTGAGGTGGTTTCCTTATCTAAATCCTTAAAAACGTAGGTTCTATGGGGTCAAGGTAAACCCACCTCTAAACCTCTAAACCCTAAACCTCTAACCCCTGAACCCCTAAACGCTTCAGTCTGAGCCCCGTGTTTCAAAGCTCTGACCCAGAGACTCCAATACCCCTTAATTAAGGAATATACCTTAGATTATAGTAGGATCCTTAATATGATTTACCTAGAGTCTCCAATGTAGTCCCTTTTTTTGGTTAACCAGTTTTATGGTTAGGACCCTATAATAGAGATTTTGGTTAACCAAAAAAAGGAACTACAATGGAGACTATAGGTAAGGAATATTCCTTAATTAAGGGATTTTGGAGTCTCTGGGGAACCCCGGGGCGCCTTGAAGCACTACCACTTCTCTTACCTTTGGATAGTACCCCACGGTTTAGGGTTTAGGGTTTAGAGAACCCTAAAACCTAAACCCCAAAGCTCCCAACCACAACAAAAGGAGCAACGGAGGACTCGCGGTTCAGAAATTGACACGTTTCAGGGTTGACCTCTGAGGGTCCAAAGGACCCAGTGATTAGGTACTTCTTCGGAAAAAACAGGGTTCCTTTAAGGGGGGTCTATAAGGATTGCTATAAGGGGTATTATGGGTGTTGTGTAGTACCCCAAGGGTCCAAAGGACCCAATAATTCGGGTTCCTTTAAAGGGCTCTACAAGGTTCCTTTAAAAGGGGTACTACTAGGGTTCTATTATCTGGGCCTTATTAATTCGGTACTAGGCTTTAGGATAGTAGTTATGTAGGCTAGGATTTTGGAGAGTATATGATCATTGGGTACTTGGACCCTTTGGGGTATGGAATGGAAGAATGGTACAGTAGTAGTAGTTATAATTGTACCCCATTCCTCCATTCCCTACTAACCAAAGGTAAGCTTTTCGGAGATTTTCGGATTTCCGGATCTCACGGTTCGGGATTTAGGGTTTAAGGTTTAGGGTTTTGGCTCTAGGGTATTTTGGGGGTTTAGCGTTTTGGGTTTTTGGGTTCACGTTCTGGGACTTAGGGCATGATTTAGGACCCCTACCCCCAACAGCTCAGATATTGATGAATCTATTCGCTGGACCAGGGACGCAACAACTACAACTGTCTGGTTCTTAGTAGGGAACGGGGGAATGGATCCCTATAGTAGTCCCTATATAATCCCCAGTAGTAGACCCCAGAACCCATGCCCCGATTCCCTACACTAAGCAAAAGGGAGACAATTTAGGGGTTGGGCTTTGAGGCTTCAGGGTTCGAACAGAGCAACGGAGCCCTGACCTGCAATCAACAATAAATGCTGGCGAGTCGTTGGATCCTAAATAATTAAGCCGGCTTAAGCAGCTTCCTGGATATATGCATGATCTGTGCTTGCAGGTGCTGCAGCCGTGAGCTCGGTTCAGGCTACGACCACTGCGACTGCGAGGAGGACGACGACGACAACGACGACTACTACGACTACTACCCTAAACCCTAACAGTTGAATACTGTTACTACCACTACAGCCTGTCTTGCACCAAAGATCTCGAAGAGCTCTTTGAAACCGCCAGAATAGTCGGAGGCATCACCTCAGATCACAGAAGAACACCCAGCTTCAGGGTTCTGAAATCCCTGAAGCCTTGTTGCTACCGGCCAAAACATCCTGCGTGATGCATGATCTGCGAAGTGTGTGTCGCACGTTGCTTCCATGGATGAGGATAGTTAGTTAACTCAAGGTTACACAGGATACAGGATGAAGAAGCCCATATCCTACACCCTAAACCCTATAAGCCTTAAGTTTAAAGCTAAATGCTATATTTCCGACCCTGAACCCTTAGCCCTAACACAGGCTTCTTCACTTAACAGTTCAGGGACCCGAAGAGTCCTGGGTACTGATCTGGGGGATGCTTTCGAAATCATAATCTAACCACATAATCTAACCAGTGGTTTTGGGGTTCCCTTGGCTCTGTAGCTCCTTATTTAATAGGAATTATCATGATCCCTGGCTCCTTAGCTCCACCAATATCAATGGTTAGTAATAGTAATTCCTAATATGGAATCCCTACATTCTACTTTATGGGGGTTTCCGAAAATAGGGGACCCTCATATAGTACCCTAAATAGTAGGATCCTTATCAGAAGGACTCCCCCCAAATAAGGTAGCCCTATTTTTGGGAAGTTCTGTATAACTAGTTTGGACCCTTTGGGGGATTGCAGGACTGGCGGAAGTGCGAGTTTGCTCCGGGACCTTTGGTCTGGTTGCTCTACTTGGAGGGTCATGGGACTTAGTAAGTAACATTATAAGTAATTACCTAAATTAGGGTTATAAGTAGTTATAATAGTTATCCTAATTGTAACTCGGTTTAAGGCTTGGTCGGATTATGGCAGAGGTTGGGGGCTTCGTCATTCTAGTTCGCAGCACGCGCGGCCCTAGCATGGCGCACCAAAGCATGCTTATGCAGATAACACTGCACATCCATCGTAAACAATTTCCCAACGACGATGTCCAAAGCGTGGCTTTAGGGTTTAGGGGGCTTAGGGTTGAGGGGGTTTAGCGTTTAATTACGTAGGGTTTGAGACCGACGACGACTTTAGCCTGCAGAATGGTGTCGATGTAAGGTCTGTCTGTTCAGGCCAGGGTGCAGGCTTTAGGGTTCAGGGGTCACCGTTTAGTTAGGGTGGTTTATGTGTTGAAGGGTCTACTTAGCCCTTGAAAAAGCAGGAGACTTTGCAAGCAGGTCATTGCTGAGATTTACACAGCCGCGTCTTTCTTGAAAAGTACTGGCAAAGCCTTCAAACCCTACACCTTAACCCCCCAAACCCTAATCCGCGGAACCCTAAGCCCCTCTAAAAATCACGTCTAATTAATCCCGAAAAACCCTACAGAGCCCATGAAACCTTTGAAGGAGCCCTGTGAAATCCCTGCAGCCTCTAAAATCCTCCTTTCGGACTGGTCGCCAAAAGGTAAACTGCCCGTTAGCAGCTCGTAGGTGAGAACGCCGATGGACCAAACATCGGCTTTTGCTGCATACTTGCCTTTGCTGTGTTTTTGGTGTTTTAAATTCAACACAGAGCTTTTGCTGCATGCTTGCCTTTGCTGTGTTTTTTGGTGTTTTTTTGTCTGTCTGCTTCAGGTTTCAAGGTTTGGGGGATTTGATCCATGTGTGAAAAGTTTAGTGAGAGCTTATGGCAAGTAGTTCAGACTGTACTGTACCGAGGCAGAGAGGTTCCTCCAAAATTTAGGATGCCTATTGAACTATGATTCATTGCAATAATAAGAAGATCCCCCAAGCAATAAGAAAAAGGGTACTACCACCTGAAGTACGTGATTCCGGCTTACAAGGAAGACTGAGGTACGTGCGCCTAGCCCGCACCTAAACCCTGAACCTTAAACTCAACACCCTAACCCTATACCCTAAACTCTATATCCGAAGCCCTAAATCCTAAATCCTAAGACCGTGAGAAGGACAACCCGTGTTCAGCAAGGCCCTCAAAGCTAACATTGAAAAGCTGGCGAGTCTCCCATCCTTTTGCAGACTTCTGGTGCCATGTAGGCCGGAGTCCCATTCACCTGGGTTTCATTGAAGTGAACGGTGGTGGAATGAAGGGCTTCGAAGGAGAGCATCAAGATTGAACAGTGTTAGGCTTCAGGCTTGTGAGTTTGCATAGACGGCTTTGAAGTTCTAACAGGGTTACACACTATACTTGGGTAGTTGTCAATATTATGGCCCCTTTTTGAATAGTTACCCTAAATAAATAATGGGTGCCGTATTATAATGAGGACACACAAAGGGACCATAATTTTGGACATGAAGGTGAGGAAGGGGCCATGAATCTAAGAGCAAACTCCAAACATCGACCCGATCGGGTTGACTGGGTATCAGTGCAGCGCTGCTTGTGTGTCGCATGCAGGGCCCCAAGAATCTAAACAACCGTAGCTTTGCAAGGTTCATTAGTCTGATTTCCGTAACTTATCTGTGTCCTTGAAAAGGCAGGTTGTGGTGGGGGGCGGGGGTGGTAATGTACGGGCCTTAATAATTGAAATAGGGTTTTGGGGGTCCATGATACTATTACCAAAATAAAGACCACCCCCCCAAAAAAAAAAAAAAAAAAAAAAACATAAGATATTATGAAGGCCCTTATACTATCCTTAACGCTAAACCCTATTCAAAAAGGCCCCTACAGTACGGAAGCTTGTTGAGCTTAGGATGTTGGCGGATGGCTTCTCAAGCAGCTACAGTAGAAGCCCAATACTTGGAAACCCAACCGCCTCAATCCTTAAGAGTATTGTAAAGGGAATCCTAGCACTATTTGGCCTTAATCCGGTTTCCAACTTTATGGGGTTTACTGTAAAGGCCTGGATTGCGCATCGGACGATGGAAGGCCTCAACGTCCAGGAGGGTCCATACATACAACCATTATGAAAACAGGTCCCCCCCAAATGGTTTCACACAAAGATTAAACTGGTCTTTTTGGGGCCTGGTTCCGTCATGGTAGCATCTTCGGACACTCTGGGTGTGGCGGTATACCGACTCCGATTCCCGACCGCCTTTGCCTCTATGGGTCGCATTTCATGGCTCAGAGATGGAGCACGCCAGCCCGTTCCGAGCAACACTGAGAATGTGCACACACTAAACCCTAAACCCTAGACCCCTAAACCCCTAAACCCCTAAACCCTAAACCCCTAAACTCCAGCTACAACAGGCGCAAGACACAAACCCACGACCCTGACCAAGGCGAAGTCCTTTACTTGTTCATTCTCTTGAGCCTTGACCTTTTCACCAAATTTTAGGGTTTAGGTTGGGGTCTAGGGTTCCGGTTCCGAAAGTATCTGTAAAGGGCGACGGTCGAAGTTTCTGTTCTGAACCAGTCGCATCTGTGATGCCGCCACCGGGGTCGGTTGGATCAAAGGTCGCAGATAACCCGAAGTCGATGATTTTGCAGTTGTAGCTGCCTGCTTTGCGGATTTGGGTTGAGCATGGTTGAGTACTATAGGGGCCTTGATAATTAGAATACGATCTTGGGGGTCATTATACTGTAATTATACTGTCATCATGATAAGGACCCCCCCCCCAAAAAAAAAAAATGGTATAGGTAGTTATTGAGGCCCTAGATTACGCGGCTAAACCAACTTCCCGTGACTGAAAAGACCTCTATGCAGAAGGAGCGCTAAAAGAAGGCTTTTTGGGCTTGTTATAGCTCCAAGTAGGGTTTAGCATTTTTGGGTTTAGAGTTTTGTGCTATACTGGTTGGTCTTTTTCGAGCGCGATTTGGGGGTCGGGGTGTAAATGCTTAGGATTTGGAGCTTCCCAGCGGCTATGCAAGATTTATCGAACTCCTGCACCCTAAACCCTAAACCTATACTGAACTTAGAACCCTAGCAAAAATTATAATTTTAGCTGTTTCTTAGGGATTATAATAACCAAAAATCAAAAATTATTTCTAAGTACCCCTAAGAAACCCCTGCCTCCCAGACAAAAGCCTTGAATGGTGTGGTCCTAGTCCAAGCAAGGCGAGTGCTGCTCAGAAGCCCGGCCAGAGCCTGCACTTAAAGCCAATAGCTGTGAACCCTAAAAACGGTTTAGGGCTTAGGAATTATATTCTTTAAAGGAACCCCTAAAGATCCCTTTGAAGGACCCCCTAAAAACCTGAACAAAGGAAGACGCTGCCTTCTTTCAGCTCGGGACTCAGGCAGCAGCCGGTGAGCCAGGCCAAGCTCCTGGGGGTTTGGGGCCCAGAGAGCCCAATACCCCTTAATTAAGGACAAGGGCTAGGGCTCCTTTAAGGGATCCTTTAAGGGATCTATAGGGTTTAGGGTCTAGGGAAGAATTCCCCTTAATTAAGGAATATGGCTTACATTATATAGGGATTCAAATTTAGGATTTAAGCTATCTTCCTTAATTAAGGGGTATTGGGCTCTCTGGGGGTTCCTTTAAAGGGATCTGTAGGGGTAGGGGTGCCTATAAGGGCTCCTGCAAGGGATCTATAAGGGTATCGTGGGTTTTGGGGGTTTTGGGGTTGTAGGGGTTTAGGGGTTTTAGGGGTTTGGGGGTTTGGGCGTTTAGGGGTTTAGTGGTTCAGGGTTTACGGTTTAGGGCGTTTAGGGGTTAGGGGTTGAGGATTCAGGGTTTAGGGGTGTAGGGGTTTATAAGACCGGCAAACTATGGCGCAGGATGGCACAGCTGCTGTCGTCGTGCAGGCCTTTGGGCAATCCGGCTGCTAGCGATGCCGAAGGTGGTGGTGATGGGCAAAGGTGATGATAGTGATTTCGGTGAGAAGGGCGACGAAGGTGATTGTGGTGATGAAGATGACGACTGCCATGATGGTCGTGGTGATAGTGGTGGTGGTGCGGTTGGCGAGAGTGGTGAGAGCGGTGAGGCGTTGAGGGTGGTGATGCTGGTGACATAATGGTGATGGTGCTGATGGCAGCGATGCTGATGGCGGCCTTGGTGATCGTGACATAAAACGCGGTGGTGACGGGAACGATGGCCAAGGTGTTGATGGTGATGGCGGCGATGATGGTGATGGCGATGACGGTGGTGATGATGGTGATGCTGCTGATGATGACAATGACGCTGACGCGGATGGTGGTGACGATGATGACGGTGCTAAGGAAGATGATGCTGGCGACGCCGACGACGATGATCTGCCAGTGATTAGAACACTGATTCTACTCATGCCCTCGACCCCATTCCCTGAACCTTACACTCTGAACCCAAAAAGCCCCAAACCCTTAAACCCTAAACCCCTAAACCCCTAAACCCAAAACCCAAACCCCTAAACCCAAAACCCAAAACCCTAAACGCCTATAACCCCTTAACCCTAAACCCCTAAACCCTAAACCCCTAAAGCCCTAAACCCCTAAACCCCGAAAAAACACCCTAAGCCGTACTTGATTGCAAGGCCAGGAGCTGCTCGTGCAAATCCGCACACACCAACATGATGTTGCCGGGCTTCCTCGACGACTTCCGCTTTGGGGTCTAGGGCTTCCCAGAGAGCCCAATGCCCCTTAATTAAGGAAAAGGGCTAGGGCTCCTTTAAGGGATCTATAGGGTTTAGGGTCTAGGGGATAATTCCCCTTAATTAAGGAATATGGCTTACATTATATAGGGATTCATATTAGGATTTAAGCTATATTCCTTAATTAAGGGGTATTGGGCTCTCTGGGTTAATGCTCGGGGCTTCAGTTTAGGGCTTCCTAGGGGTCTGGAGCTTGGGGGCTTCTGCCTCGGTACGTGGACGCGGGAATCGGCGTTGCTTAATATAGCGACCCGTAAAAGGGTTTTGGGTGCATTTTGTTCGTCGAATAGAGTGTAACTATTGTAGTGTAACTCTGAGGAATAGTACTAGTAGGAATTCTTCAAGCTTCTATATTCGACTCGGGCACTCTTTCGTTACAATGGCCTAGACCAAGATGGATCCTGTAGAGCGGGACCCATTACCCATTACAGCTTCAAGGATGTCCACCCATCGAACCATACATACTGGCTGATCGAGGTGTGTATACATAAATATAGGTACATAAAAACACAACATAACTACATGCGTATCTACATCCGTCCATCCATCCAGCCAGACAGCCAGCCAGTCATCCAGCCATCCATCCATGCATGCATACATACACATAAACTTGCATGTGAATGTAGATGCACATATTATATACAGATACATGTATGTATACAAAAGCAACGTCATCTACATACACAGTGCAGATACATTCACCTATACACCGTTTTGGAGTCCGGGGTATATATATATATATATATGTATATATGCACACACAAGTAATATACATACATGAACTGGCACGTACGTTTATGTGTATATTTTCTATATACATACATACATATATATATATATATAAGTGCACATGCAAATGACCACAAAGTGTAAAGGTATATGTAGATCGAAGTGCCCATTGGTGCCAGTGGCACCTAGCGGCACTCGGAGACTTTGCGGTGCACAAGGCAAGTGGCAAATCCCGGTGCAGAACGCCACGCTCGTGGCAAAAGGCTGCGCCGGACAGCACCTAGTCCGGAGGGCCCTCATATAGGGTTTCGGGTTTTAGGCTTTGGGGTTTAGGGTTAAGGGGCACAAAGGGTTTAGGGCTCATATAAGGGCCTTGATAACTAGAACAAACGGGAACCATGTCCCTTTGAATTTAAAAAGGTTGGTTTAAAGGCTCATTTCACGTTCCAGTATAGGGGTATATGCTAGCACTAACCAAGCAAGGAGCCCTCAGGGATAGTATCGCTCATTGTTTAGACCCCCAGAATGAACCCAGGCCTTCAGAAACTCGGGTTCAGGGTTGAAGGTCGAGAAACTGATGTCTTCTTCCACGATGGCAACCCGGTCTTGGCAGATTAGAGGGTTTAGGGTTCAAGCGTTCATGGGAGCACATCTACTTGCCGAACCGTCCTCCCCTTAACAAGGGACCCTAACTCCAAGCCTCAAACAAAACCCTCTAAGCACTTGTAGATGCCTTAAAAGAGCCCTGTGAGATAACCCCCAAACCCCCAAAACACTTAGGGTTTAGGGTACTGTAGTGCCGCACAAACCCAAAGGCCTTGGAGTAACTTCCTTAGTAAGCCCAGTAAGCCACCCTGCACCCTGAAGCCCTAAAACTCCGTAGGTTAGACGCCAGAAAGTTGGACATCTTTCTCCTCCCGCCTTGAAGAACCCTTGGAGTAACTTTCATAGTAAGCCCTTACCCTAGGCATCTAAGGACTCATATATCCAGGCTTTTGGGCCCAAAGACCATACTATATCAGGCTTTCCTTAAACCTGAAGAACCTACCTTTTTGAGGACTTATATAAGGAAATCGTAATAGGGAACCCTAAAAAGGTAGGTTCTTCAGGGTTAAGGTATACCATGAACCCTCATAAACCCTGGCCCTAAATCCCTAAACCCCAGGGTTAAGGTTTGGGCTAGTTTGATGCCCAGGGTTGAAGAGAAAGCCTGGCGGACGATGCGGGAGACCAGATGTTCACCCAAGCAGCCACTCCTGAAAGGTCACAGGGCTAGGATTCAGGGTCTAGGGCGGAGGGTTTAGGGTGCATAAATTTAAGAATTCGGGTTTAAGGCTCAGTGTTTAGGATCCTTGATCAGGATGTAGGCTTTAGGGTTTCGCGTTTGGGTCTCTGGGTTTAGGGCCCTTTAAGGGCTCCTTTGAACGTTCTTTTGAGGGTCTTTGTGGCACTTAGTCGCTAGGGCTCCTGAAAGCCGGAAGGTTGGTTTTATACGGCTCTTGTAGTACTTGTAACGGTCTTCACAGGCTCTTGTTCGGTTTCAGCCTCGATCTTGGCATCATGGCTTACTTTGAGTTTAATGGGGGTCCAGGGACCCAGAGGGTCCAGAAAAACAAGGGACCCTCTTAGATCAAGGCAAGGCTCTCGCATTTTGTGGTTGCGGTCAGGTTGCTTTGGAGGCGCAAACAAAGGTCCAGGATCTAGGAGGATCTGGGGGGCAAAGCTCCAAACACTCTGACGGTCATAGGCTCTCAATCCCAATTAAACCCTGAGTCGTTGGGGGTTTGGACATTTCTTCACGGAACTAGTGTGCAGCGAAGGTCAGAAACAACCTCACGTCCTAAACTTTGGTGTTTACCAGCACCCCCCAACTACCCTCTACTATACCCTAAATACCTCTATTGGGGACCATCACGGCTCTATTGAAGGGCACTTGAGGGGTCCTGGTAGGCTTAGGATACACGTCTTAACCTGATGGGTCGAAGCCTCACTCATCTGTCCTACACCCCCACCCCTTGTATGTCCGAGAATCGAAAAACCCAGATTTCTCCAAGGATATTAGCGTTGTGGAGATATTCCCCAAAAAGCCATTCTAATCATGGCTTTGGGGGACCTACATGCATAATTACGTACCGTCTTAGGAAACCTCCTAAAAGCCGTTGGAAAAAACAAATGGGAGTTTCCGAAAATAGGGAGACCCTCATGTAGTACCCTAAATAATAGGATCCTTATTATAAGGACCCCAAAATAAGGTACCCTAATTTTCGGAAACTCCCAAATGTACCAGTCCTTTCCAACAGGTCGTCGAGGTCGCCCCCCGACAGCTTCTCCTCAGCAAGGTGGGGATACTCGGCTTGGGCGCCGCACAAGGGTTTGCGGCTTAGAGTTTCCCAGACCCCCGATAGTAGATCCCTTAATGGGGCGGGGGTTCCTATAAAGTACCCTTATATAGGGCCCCAAATTAGGGGATCTACTTTCTAGATCCTCCCGGGGGGTCTGGTTTAGGGGGCTTCGGGCTTGGTGTGGCGTTGTTGCTTTAGTCTTCGTAGGGTGCTCTTTAATGGATCAATGAAACCAGTAATCAACTCACTGAAAACCCAGAGCCCTATATGGTAGGAACCTGATAAAGAAATCCTGGGCCTATAACCCCCAAAAAGGAGTCATATCAGGAAGCCTAATAAAGACCCAAAGATTTCTTAATCAGGTTCCTACATTACACCCTAAATCCAGAAAGCCTTTACTGTGACATCTAGAACTCTATCATGGGATCGTTGTTCTTCCTAAGAGTACTTCTCGCAACAGCAGTAGCCTACTTCTGAGTCTCGTGACGCTGTCAAGCATGGAACTTCATCCCGAAAATCCTACTCTAAACTGGGCCGACATAGTTTGACATCTGCCTGGCAGTAGTCTTTACAAAAACAAGTCCCTCCGAGAGGACCTGTATGTAAGCATCCGTGACCGCGACAGACACCGGTTTCCTGGCGTTTGCCCGGGTGAACCTGTGTTGCCCGCTGTGATGTCGTCGACTGTGAGTGCAGACAGTTGCCTCACCCTCCGGAGCCATCCACTGGTTGTGGGGTAGGTCACACCGCCATAAAAACAAGCAAGCCTAGAGGATAATGTTGTTAATTGTTTGGGCCCTCGGGCCTAATCAAACCCTAAAACTGCATTACCCTTCCCGGCTTGGTGTTGTGATCTTCTTCTCCCAAAGGCGTTCCTCCTCCGGCAAACCATACAGGGCTCCTTAAATTAACAAGGGCTCAATGTTTTTTTGGGGTTCAGGGTTTAAAGGGTTCAAGTTTCTTTGCGGCCTCATGGTCCAGAGCTTTGGGTTTGGAATTGAGGCTTAGGGGTTTATAGGGTTTAGGGAGGTCTTTGGCTCCGGGTTCAGGTACGGTCCGGGGCCTCCAAGGTTTCGGGTACTTAAACCCAGGCTTTCTGGGTACGTGTAGTTCTCTAAATATGGTTCCCTTCTTAGGTCCACCCCAAAAAAGTACGGCACCGTCATTTTCAGCACCCCAAAAGGGACCTTGATTTGAACAACTACCCGTACAGTATCATGAACCACGAAAGCACGCGTTCGATCACCTTACGCACCAGCAGCTTGTCCGGAACTTCAATGTAAATCGTGAACCCCTGTGGGGGTTATTGGTTTAGGTTTGGGAGTTTAGGCGTTTAGGGCCCTCAAACTCCTTGCAGCCATGACGAGTGCCCTTACAAAGCTCCAACAACCCGAACCTCCTCCGAAGCGCCCTGCACCCTTACAGCCTGAACCCTAGACATCCCTAAACCCTACATAGGTGGTTGTCAATATTTGGGTCCTTGTTATAATACGGCAACTAATATTTAGGGTGCCCAAAAAGGGACCATAATTTTGACAACCACCCACATAAGGCCCATCCTTACCTTAATCCCGAAGAACCTACATTTTTAAGGAGTTATATAAGAAATCATACTAAGGAACCCTAAAAAAGGTAGGCTATTCAGGGTTAATTTAAACCCTACATAATGCCCGGTTACCATGAGGAGGGAGATCTGGAGAGCCCTAAGCCGGCAACCACTTAACTCCTGGCAGAACCCTCAAAAGCGCCCTTGAAGGGGTTTAGGGTTTAGGGTTTAGGGCTTGAAGAACCTTCCAGGGAACCCCTTTGGAACAACACCGATTTACGCACAACAAGATTGAAGAAGCCCGGTCACCATGAGAAGATAGATCTTCTGATTCCTGGTGTCCTCACCGAATTCGAAGAGCCGCACGATGTTCCTTGGTCTCTTCTGGTAAAGAAGCAGGATACCTGTTTTAGAGGGTACTGGTTTAAGAGCTCGCATCTAAAGTAGTAGGAATCCAACCACAAAAAGGTAAAACGCAACTCTCAAGATTGACCACCTACTTGTCGGGTATCATGGGGAACTAAAGGTTAACCTTTTTGGTGATATAGGGGTTACAGACCCAAAAAAGGTTAAGGGCTACTTACTCTACTACTGGGACCAAGTTTCGGATGATCCAGATCCTGTAGCACCTCGGGCCGCAAAAGGGGTTTAAGGCGCAACCTGTCGCTACGGGAATTGTCGGGTGTTGCCACTCAACTACTGAACATAACTGACAAAGCTCCCCTAAGCCGTAAAGACATGCTCTCGAGTGGGAGGCTCTACACATGTTCTGCTTCGGTTCTATATCAAGTTGCTTTTTAATCCATAATTCGTAATGGCTCCATAAAACGCTTTTGACACAGGCTTTGCACTGTTTATAGTGCTCTTGTCAAGCATGACTTACACAAATCACCCCTGTATACATGCGACTCCAGCTGACCAGTGGAGGTGTATTAAAGGGCAGCTGCTACGATAGCAAGGCTTCAGGCGTCCCTGCTTTAACATGGAGCCCTGCGTACCATAGGGACCTAGAACGGGGCTTTGGGCGGTATGTTGTCGTATAGTTCGACTTCGGGGACTATGATCGATAAGCCGTTAAACCCACCAAAATCCTTAAACCCTAAACCCTACTATGAGTAAGAATTCCGAACCGTATGTGTCTTCTTCAATGATCGGGCCGAAAAAGCTCCAACTTTCTTTCATTCACCAATGTGTAAGGCCGAAAAGCCAAAAGTTCTCTCATATGCTAGCTCCCGTGTACAAGGACCCTAAACCCTAAACCTCAAAACCTTATCTACGGCATTGGGATTTGGTCCACGGGCTGCCTGGATCTCACGGCGCATGTTGTCCAGCAGTCGTGGCGCTAGGTTCTTCGTCGTCACGATCTTGATGACTCGTTCAAGACCTCGAAAAGCTGAGGATGTGTAATATAGGGGCCTTAATAATAATTAGAATAAGTTTTGGGGCCCATTATACTATAACTATAATAAGGACCCCCCGCCCCCTCCCCCCCCCAAAAAAAAACAAAACAAAAAAACAAAAAAAAAAAAATATATATATATATATATATATGGGTAATTCTTAAGGCCCCGGTCGTCGGGCTCAGGGTCTTTGGGGTTTAGGGTTTAGGGCCAGGGTTTATGAGGGTTCATGGTATATGGCTTGCGATTTAGGGATAGAGCTGAGAGTGTAGGGTTTCGGGCATTGGGCCTGAGTTTCCCCAGCTACCGTTTACTATCCCCTGGACTTCCAGACTGCAAGCCCGCAGCCCAAACAAATCGACCCAATAGCTTCTCCGGGTTTAGGCTCCAGACTTTAAGCCGTACGCTCCCCATGACCCCACAGAAACCAGCTCTTTCAGTAAGCTTGCTGATCTCGAACGGTGCTTCACGTAGATCTCATGATTCTCTGAAAACCAATCTTCGGAAAACAACACTTCCTAGAATGCAAGACATGATGATGACCTAGTCCTGGAGGCTGCAGGGAAATGTACGGTTTAGAGTTACGGCGGCCGCTATGCTCGAGCACAACGGCGACCCTGAACACATAATTTCGAAATCGCCAAAGCCTAAACTCTAAGGCTCGACGTGACGGGAGGTACCGGGCCCCGTTTCGGTTGCTTAGAACCTTACATAGCGCCCTAAGCAAGAACCCGAAAACGAGATGCGCAATAAGTACATCTTCAGCAAATCGCGAAAAGAAGGGAAACTATATAGGAGCAACCCTAAACCCTAAACCCTAAACCGTTAAGAACCTCTAGCCAAGAACATGTTGGAACCCGTAAACCCTAAATTCGTAACCCCGGGGGAGCCCTGCCCAGACCTCTGGGAGGATGTAAATAGCAGATCCCTTTAAGGGGATTGTTTTAAAGTACCTCCCGGGGTCTGGGTATAGAACCCTTCTAGAGCCCTTTTAAAATATCTGTAAAAACCCTTAAGTAGGACCCCTATAGAGCCCTTTCTGAGGTCCATACGAACCTACACCCTTAAGCCTGAGGCCCTAATTGGCGCTAATTATAGGCCCCTTTCCCAGAGAGCCCAACACCCCTTAATTAAGGAACATAGCCTAAATCATAATATGAAGCCCAACATAATTTAAGCCAAATTCCTCAATTAAGGGGAATTATCCCCTAGACCCTAAACCCTATAGATCCCTTAAAGGATCCCTTAAAGGATCCCTAGCCCTTTTCCTGAATTAAGGGGTGTTGGGCTTTCTGGGTTCCTGAGGGCTTCTTACCCTAGGTATCTAAGGACTCATACGTTAAGGTTTTTGGGCCCAAAGACCATATTATATAAGGCTTTTGGGCTATTTTGATGCCCAGGGTTAGAGTTCCTCTAAAGGGTTCTGTAAGGTTCCTTTAAAAGTGGTATTTTTAGGAATTATGAGGGGTTCTATTATATGGGCCTTAATAACTATAAGGGCTTCTTAGGGGCTAAAACATCGATCCCGGGCACCTGTAGCCCGCTCCCGCACCAAGTGGACGACGCCGAACGCGCCGCTCCCCAGCTCTCTCAGAATGTCATAGCCTTAGAGGGGTTGGTGGTTTGAGGTTTTTAGAATGTCATAGCCTCATAGGGGTTTGGGGTTTTTTATTTTTTTGGTGGTTTGAGGTTCTTAGAATGTCATAGCCTCATAGGGGTTTAGGTGTTTGTTCTTGTGGTTTGAGGATTTTAGAATGTCATGGCCTTATAAGGGTTTAGGTGTTTTTTTTGTGGTTTAGGGTCGAGTTTTCAGGCCTCATAGCCTTAGGGTTCAAGTGTTTTGTTTGTGGTTTAGGGTCGTGTTTAAGGTTTAGGTTTCTTGTTGGGTTTAAGCATATCCCTGGGGCTTCAAATATAGGTCAAAATAGGTATGTACATCTTAATCTTAAGAGTTTAGACTCCAAAGCGCCGCAGTGCTAGTTGCAACTTAGTCGGGACAGGAGAGGCTCTTAGAGACTGTTTCTAGGATGCCCAGTAACCTGGGAATAAAAAGGGCTCCCTTTTTGGTATTGGGTAACTTTATAGGGAACCTAGGACTACAAAAAGGGAATAAGGGGACTACTGGGCATCCTAGATTTGCAAATTAGTCGGTGCATGACCCTAATGCTCCATGTAGCCATATAGTATACACTTAGGCCTTAAAAGTACCTATATAGGAACCCCTTTAAGGTCTAAGTATATACTATAGGGGTACATGGAGCCTTAGGGTGAGAGACTCTTGGATACTGTTTGGTTTTGTGAAAAGGATGGGGCCGGGCGTTGGCTGGAGCGCATGCAATCTCCCAAAGCTAACAAACTCCAACGGATAAAGAAACCCCTAGAAACCCTTGCAGATCCCCTAAAGAACCATTGAAGGATCGCTATAACCCAAAGGGTCCCAAACAATTACCCTAATTATACGGCAGAATGTAGGGTTCTTCACTAGGACATAATCACTACTATGATTTGAGGAAGTATCCACCATAATAGTACCTGGCACACTGTGGGAAAAGCAGTTGTAGATCAACAAAGCAAAGCGGCGCAAACTGAGGAAGTCACCGGTCCGGTGTTGGCTGATCAAGCCCCTCGGACTGGCTCAGGATCCAAAAAGTAGATCCCTTAATTATGGGGTTCCTATAAGTACCCTAAGTAGTATAGGGCCCCAATTCAGGGGATCTACTTTCCAGATCCTTTCGGGGGTCTGGGATTTAGGATGTATGAGGTTCTTGCGGGGTTTTAGGTTCGGGATTTAGGATCAAGGAACTTTTGGGCCTTGTAAATAGGGCTCAAGGGTATTTAAGCGGAGTAGGGGTGTTGGGGTTCGGGGTTTAGGGCTTAGGCTTGGGCCCTTCGAGGAAGAGGACTTTCGGTTGAAGGATTTGGGGGTCTATAGTTTACCTTAAGCCGGAAGAACCTACCTTTTGAAGGACTTATATAAGAAAATCATAATGGGGAACCCTAAAACGAAAGGTTATTCCGGCTTAAGGTAAGGCTTAGGGTTTGAGTTTTGGGAAACAGGATTCAGGGCCTATAGTCTATAGGGTATGAGAACCCCATATCATACCTAGAGGCTCATACCCTACCCCTTTTTTAGGATACCTAGTTTTATGGTTAGGATCTGCTATCTTAAAAAGTAGGCGCCCTAAAAAAGGGGTATATAGGGTATGAGTCTCTAGGTAAGTGATCGTTTCAGATGATAGACCGCAGGCATGATTCCCCCAGGCCCTACGCCCGTACGCCTTGGCGGCCTTAACAAAGTTAAGGGCTTCAACACAGGCCCATTTCCCTTAAGGCTCCATGTAGCCATATAGTATACACTTCGGCCTTAAAGTACCGATAGAGGAACCCCTTTAAGGCCTAAGTATATAATTACTATACGGGTACATGGAGCATTAGGGTTCAGATTTCCGAATTCCCGACCCAAATGCTAACACCCCAAATCATGGCCACATATCTACCCAGGGGCCCCAGAGTAGTTCCTTTTAGGTAATATATTAGAGTCCCTAACCAAAAAAAAGGACACACCCAAAAAGGAACTACTTTGGGGCCTCTGGGTAATGCCCAGCTCACGAATCCTGCATCCTGAACCCTGACCGTCCAACGCCGGACGGCCTGACAAGAACAAGGGAAAGTCCAGTTTAGGGTTTACCTGTGACCCCAAACCCTCCAAAATAGTAGGTTATGACCCCTCAATTAGAGGGTAGAACCCTTAAAACGGTAGGGTTTCGGATCCCCAGGTAGGGTTTAGGGTTTAGGGTTCCAAACCCTCTGTGGCAAGCAGCCTCAACCCGAAGTCCTAAGAACCCTAATGCTCCATGTACCCCTATAGTATATACTTAGGCCTTAAAGGGGTTCCTATATCGCAAAACCCTAAAGCCTCAACTCTGTGCCCTTAAACTCCTAAACCCTTGACCTCACACCCTAGACCCTCTCTCGAGCCGTGAAGATCCCTGTGTAGCAAATCCCTTTTACAACTCGTGAAGGAAATGCCTACTTGTCGGGTATCATGGGGAACTAAAGGTTAACCTTTCTGGTTATATAGGGATTATATAGGGACTATACTACCCAAAGAAAGTTAAAGGTTACCTACTCTGCTACTGCAGTTGATGGACAAAATCCTGCATTACCCATTATAAGGAATATACCATAATACCCATAGTTAGAGTCCTTAGGGTCATGCAGGATTTTGTCCATCAGCCGTAGGAATGTTTTTGAGGGAGCCCTTTACTTCAGGATGCCTGCGACTCACAGCCGCCACGGGCGGCAGCTTCGGATGCCAGCAGAGCATGATGTTTTAGGGCACGGTTTAGGGGTTTAGGGGTTTAGGGTTTTAGGGTTGCAGGTTCTAGGGTTTAGGGGTTTAGGGTTTAGGCCGGTTTTAGGGTTTAGGGGCCCCAGATATGCGAATAACGGTTTGATAGGGATCTACTAAGAGTCTTAGATGGCCAGATGCCGTTCCTTACATGCCCCACATCTTCTTGTCCAAAATAATAGCAAGGCTTCTATAGAGCTACACTACGGGCTTGATTGCAGGGCCTTACGGCTTTATCGTTTCAGAGGGTTTAAGATGCAAGCGCCCTTAGAACCAAACCACACACAATGTGCTCCTTAATCCCTGGGAGTGCTACAGCTACAAAAACACAAAATACTTCCTTACAGCACTCGCGCGTGGTGGGCCTTGTCGCTATAAGGAAGCAGGGGCTTTGCCCTGCGGTGCAGCAGTTGAAATGCGCTGCTTGAAGCTTCAACGGCAAGGGCGGACGCACTTCAGGTTGACTGAACTGAATTTCGAGGTGTGGATTTTGATTTGTGGGTTTAGGATTTAGGATTTACGCTGTAGGGTCTATGAGGGATTGGGGTCTAGGGTGCAGGGATCCTTTCTATTCGCATGGGTCTTTTAGGTCTAGACGCAAGGATCCTGCTATGTAGCCTTCTCCGCCGAAACTCGCATTGCAAAGTTCCGAAGTAGTAGGTTACGTTCCCTTGATCATGAAAAGGCATTCAATACAGCAGGTTGTGACCCATAATCAAAGGTCCCGCATACTGCATAGTCGGTTGCGGCCCCCCGCATAATCCGATCCGGACAGAAGCTCGAGCTTCCAAACTCTAGTGCTCTACTTAGAGGCCCAGGGGACTTAGTAAGTAGGTTATAAGTACAGTTATAAGTCCCCTAAATGGAGTTACCCCAATTATAACTACCCTACTTATAACCGACTTAGTGCTCCAGGGCTTCAGAAGCCCTAAGGCTCCATGTAGCCATATAGTATATACTCAAGCCTTAAAGGGGTTCCTATACAGGTACTTTAAGGCCTAAGTCTATACTATATGGCTACATGGAGCCGTAGGGAAGGGCTTGAGATTGAGGAGTTGGCACTGACGCCTAGTACAAAACATTTCAGAACCATGATCGACGAAGAGAAGAATGATGTAAGATCTTGAGCCAAGCCTCCAAGCCCTCAGTCCCGGAATCCCAAACCCTAACCTAGACCGACTATATAAACCTGAAAACCTGGAAATCGTATTCACCCTAAGGCTCCTAAGAGGGTCTTGGGCTTTCTGGGGGAGGGTTTCGGCTTTGGGGGCTAGGGTCCGGGATCTCACTACAAGGGTCCGGGAGCCTTAAGGCAGCACCTGAGGACTATGCCTTGGAAGAAGAACGACGTCTGCTTCCAACATGTCGGCAGCGACCTCGACCAAGGATCATTATGCATGCTGCCTTGGTGTTTTTGTTGAGGCCCTTTTTCCAGTGCATGGAGAGCCTGAATGAGGCATGCTGCCTTGGTGTTTAGAGTTTGGGCTTTCTGCTTGGCAAATGGGAGTTAGTGTTGAGGGGTTGTTGATCAAGCTTTGGGGTGGAGCAATCAAGGCTTCATAAGCATGTATGTGGCCTTTGAAGAAGTGTATGTTGGATATCGTGTTTGAAACGGTCCGTCGTTCATCGACTGGTTGATCTCATTGTGCACGGCTTTTGCTTTCACGCGATGTACCTATTTGAGGTTTGGCCGGTTGCCCTAAGGCTCCATGCACCCATATAGTATATACTTAGGCCTAAAAGTACCGGTACAGGGATCCCTTTAAGGCCTAAGTATCTACTCTAAAGGTACATGGAGCCTTTGGGATGCAGGCTGAACATTGTGCTTCGTCATGAACTTATCCTGGCCAACTTGTCAAGTGTCCTAGAGGAGCTAAGGTTAACCTGTGGGGTTGCAAACGTTTATGATATCGACCCTATAACCCTAAGGGTCCACAGGACCCAATAATCAGGTACTTAGGGTCCGGATAGTAACTTAGTAGTTTTGTAGTTTACTATTGTGGAGAGTATATGATCATTAGGTACTTGGACCCTTAGGATAAGCGATAACCCTCTGGATAAAAATAGCCCAAACGCCTGGTATAGTAATAGTATGGTCTTTGGGCCCAAAAGCCTTAATATATGAGTCCTTAGATCCCTAGAGTAAGCGCCTGCTCTACAACAAAGAAACACCGCCGTGGAGTGCTGCTCATCCTTATGGGTAATCGCCGACATGTCAAGTGCAGACCACTACGGTTGATGAAATAAATCTTTTGCCCAGAATGAGGGATATACCATGATTCCCATAGTTTAGAATCCTTAAGATAATGCAGGATTTTTTATCATCAACAGTATACTGACCATTGGGACCCCTGCAACCATGATAATTTCAGCTGCCTCTTAGGGACTCAAGTAGCCAAGATGAAGGCTTCATTGAAAGTACCCCAAGAAGTGCATACATGTGCATACCCTAGGGGAGTCTTTAGTATTTTGGATTGAAAGGACGGCCTGTCACTCTGGCCATGCAACTCTAAATTTCCATTCGGAAGCCGGAAGCCCTCGAACCTCGCGCCTGAATCCGAAACATCGGTGGCCTAGGGCTTACGTTAAACCCGAACGGCCTACCTCTTTAAGGACTTATATAAAGAAGCTATATTAAGGAACTCTAAAGGGTAGTTTCTTAGGCTCCAGGTAGAGCTTAATTTCGGGCTTAGAGTAGGGCTCGGATTTAGCAGGATTTTGGGCTCACGGCCCTGAACCCTAAATCCAACAAACGGAGCTCAGCACCCGGCTCCGGTCCTGTGCAGAAGGAGATAGGCTTGTGACAGGCACTGAACCAGATCTCAAACCTCGGTTCAGGTGCGGCTTGTGCCACATAGGGGTTTAGGGCTTCGGGCTTAGGCATTGCAAGAATTCCTGACCTAAATCCGGCCAGCCCTGTGCCAGGAAACCCTAAACCCTATCACCCTTGTACCTGGGGCCCAGAACCCTAAACCCTAAACCCTAAACCCTAAACCCTATATCAGTTCTGTACCAGAAAGCCCCAAACCCCGTCAGCCCTGTACCAGGGGCCCTAACTAAACCCTAAATCCTCTCAGCCCTGCCCTGCACTATACTTAAAAGATCATGGGACTTAGACTTAGTAAGTAGGGCTATAAGTACCTGAATTAGGGTTATAAGTAGATATAACTATAGTTACCTTACTTATAACCCTACTTACTAAGTCCCATGATCCTGCAAGTAGGGGCCCTAAGCCCTAAACGCGTTCAGCCCTGCACGAGGAGCTCTACACCCCCAAAACCCGAGTATCGCTGCACTCAGGGCACTACACCCTACACCCGTTCAGCATCCTATGCCCAACATCCTGCCAGCACCCCTAAACCCTAAACCCTGTCAGCCCTGCACTGCTTAGAGGCCCAGGGGACTTAGTGAGTAGGTTTTAAGTAGAGTTATCTGTACCCTAAATGGAGTTACCTCAATTCTAACCCTACCTATACCCGTCTTACTACGTCCCTGTACCTCTAAGTACAAAAAATTAGAACCCTAATCGAATCCTGACAGAAACCCTAAGAGGAACCCTTTCAAAGGATCCCTGCAGTACTGCTTGAGGGGCCCTCAAGGCAAGCTCGGTTGCAAAGACGCGCACTGGGCTGCTAGCCAGGTAATCAGGCCATCCAGCGATCCCTGGCAGTCTGTCTTACGAGTTTTAGGGTTAAGGTTTAGGGTTTTAGGGTTTAGTAGGGCTTATGGTTTAATTTAAGGTCTTACGGGTTGATTGTCAAAGCTCCTTTAAGGCAAAGGGTTCGAACAGGGTTCCTATTCTGGTTTGTGACTAATTCTCCAAGGGGTACTTAATACTTAAATGGTGCGTTCAGGCATGCTGGCTTTAATCCGAAATTTCAGGAAAGAACTGTGAGGACAGATCTTACATGCCTGTTACATGATAGCATTATTATTGTTTAGGCATGAGGGGTTACAGTTTAGTTGGTGTCCAGGGTTCAAGGCGTATAGGGCCTACAGTACGGTTTAGGGACCACCAAACACTTATCCCACACAGGGTCCAAAATGTGTCGAATACGGTTTAAGCTTGTATTGTTAGATCATTATTGCATCTCAGGGTTCTCTACTCGAAGCGATAAGAGACGAGAAGATTAGGTCCGAGACATGTCTAGAAGGTTTTTATTCGAAGCTAGTCCATGGTTTGGACAGTATTGGAAATCAAGTTCTTTCCAAAGTTCTATTCCTACTTGGGCTCAAGTACTAAACACAATGCATAATGGTACCCATCTATGGCACAGTAACTCCGTCACGAACACCTAAACTCGAAACTTTCAAGCCGTAATCCTCAAACCCTATACACCCTAAACCCCAAAGATATTTGATGTATTATAACGCAGCGCAGACACCGCAGGAGCTTTGAGAAACGCAGGGCTCAAAGAAGCCTGGGTCTGGAATTGATACTAACCCTAAGGATCCACAGGACCCAATAACAAGGGCTTCTATAAGGGTTCCTTTTAAAGGGTTCTACAAACTATAAGGGGTATCGTGGGGGTTTACTACAGCCCTAAGGGTCCAAAGGACCCAATAATCAGGTACTCCGGTTTTGGATAGTAGTTATGTAGGTTACTATTTTGGAGAGTACATGATAATGGGTGCTTGGACTCTTAGGGTAAAGGTTTCAGTTTACGGGGACCCCCAAGACCCCTTTAACAGAGAATTGATGGCTCTTTTCAGTGGGTATTTAGGTATTTTAGAGGGTAGTTGACCAGGTCTAGGGCTGGTGGTTTAGGGGTTTAGGGGTCAAACGGTTCCGGGTTTAGGGTTGATGATGGCTTTCGGTTTCAAGCTTAGGATTTAAGGCTATTGAGCTCAGGAATTAGGGGTTCGCTGTAGGAGTGTAATTATAGATTAATGCTTTGGCTTCCACTTGCAGTACTCTAAGGGCTACTGCAAGGGCTAAGAATGGGGCCTTAAACTTAATGAACATGGGCTGTGTT